CGTATCCAGAGGCTATTTCGGGTTATGAAGGGAGTCTAGTGAATATTTAGCTATTATTTAGGGATTCAATAACCCTCTCATTCCATCTTTGATTAATACGACATACAACACTCCTCACACGATCATTTCTTATTACAAACTTCAGGATATCCAGATGCCAGTAGCTACATTAAAAAGCTAGAGAACAGCTATGTTGAATAGGAAAATGAATATGTTTAGTGGATAATTCAAATGTATATTAACATTACTTTCTCTATATATATATATATATATATATGATGAATTTAGTACTAGATTACTTGAAAAATTCTGAAATGACAATGTAATTATCTATGAAGAAAGAAGGAAAAGAGGCTCAAAATCTCAGTAATCTACAAACAAAAACGCACACACAGAGTTAAATCAAAAGACAATTTATATTAGTTAACTACACAACACAATGAAGTGTAAAAAAAGAAAGAAAGGAGAAATTTATTTTTATGAAATGAAGGTGCTGAGGGGGAAAATGCTGTTAAAGTAGGCAGGAAACTACAAAAGTCGCTGACTGTTTGACTGTTGGGTGTGTATGTAAACAACAAGTTGACGGATGGGCAGCACAGACACACGCGCATGTACGTCTTCTCCACAAGGATATGCATATTCGTGTAATATATATTTTCTTATGGTCATACGCACACGTTTATTTATGATTACTTAATTCCCGCATTCTATTCAAAGCACTACCAGCCTTGAACCATTCCAGTTGATTTTCATTAAAGGTATGCATTAATTGTATCTCTTCACTTTGCCCATTCTCATGATGAAGGACACAACGAACAGGCTAGAACACAAAAAATAGAAAACGGAAACAAAAGCTGGTTGAACAAAAATAAACCGACATACATTTAAGTTTTCAAGAGTTGATTAATAAGGATTAGATTTTCAAGTATTGGTTTAGTAGGGTTTTTAGTTTGATTGCTTGGAGGATTTCATCATGCGAAGTAGTTGCGCTACGTCATCAATTGGTTTGGATCCCAGTGGCTTATTGGTCTACGAGCTAGCCCGCCTAGTAACCAGAAGATCCTGGGTTCAAATCCTGGTGGTGAGTGTGTACTGCCGATGATCCCCAAACTAGGATAAAACACCTGTCCAGTACTTCCAGGTTTTCCAGTGGTTCTCTAACTGATGTCAGCTCATGATGAAATCCTCCAACCAAGGATTAGATTTATTTTTTGAGTTTGACCACGGCTGGACATCAGTTAGAGAACCATTGGAAAGCAGGACAGAAATACTGGACAGCTGTTCCGCGAACTAGTTTGGAACCTATTAGCAGTATGCACCTACCACCAAGGTTCGAACCCAGGACCCTCTGGTTACAAGGCGAACTCGTACACCATTCAGCAACCGGGAACCGATTCAATGGCCCAAACTAGGAAGAACCAGCTGTCCAATAATTCCTGGTTTTTAATGTCTCTTTAACTGACACATTTAAGTGATATTTATGAGCAATTAAATCATCCTTTGAGTTATTTTTTTATTTATTTTTATTACAGCTTGATGCCACACTGTATTTTTGGTACAAGTATGGCATTTTTAGCATGTGATATCGGTAGCCCAAATTTTGCAGGCCGACCATAGATATCGGGTGTGCGTCGGCAGGGGATCGAACCTTGGACCATGTGCATGGTTGGCGAGAGTCCTAGCCGCATCGACATAGACAAATTTTACCAATCGGTAAAAAGGAAATCTCATACACAAAGGGTCAAAGTTCAAGTCGAGGAAACAATCAATTCCAATACGAGAAGGCTAGGGGCTGTGAAAATACACAAAAACAACCAATCAGGTTCAAGGGCACCAAGAGAGATGACTAATAAACTCGTGGAGAAATCCAAAAGCTCACTTCTAATTAAAGTATGTGCTGAAGATGTTGACCTAATGGTGGGGTAATGGAAGACTCACAAATTAACCACAATTCAGCTCAGAGAACATAACTACATCAAAAAGGCTATGCATTGTTACGTAAGGAGGAGAAAGTCAATGGATTTAAATGGTTAGGTGTCTACGTGTTATTCGTAATATACCATCACATTCCTCGTTAACCTATGTTGGGTTGATTTAAGTGTCAACGATGGTCAAGCGACAAAATGGCGTCAATAATTAATGAAATCGTATGAAGACTGATTTGAGCCACATACTAAGGTGATTGAGGGTTCTGCAGACGATAAGAAAATTAGTAGCTGGAGTCTATCGATGATACATATTCACTTATTGAAACTAATTTCTTAGATCTATTTAAACCTTGATTAATCTTCATGAAATTATTCCATATCTTGTATGCAATTATTGTTGTTCACTACATTTTCTTTGTAATTTCCTTTCTTTTTCTCTACTTTTATAACCTATAACAGCAACTTGAACTGTCACACTTTTGTACAACAACTTTCTACGCTAAAAACATTCAGTTCAATTTCGCTCAAATTTACCCCCAGACTAGTACTATTTTCGTATGATTCTCCCTTTCAAATGTTGTTTCCTGTTTTTGAATTTGAAGCGTGGCATGCAATTATGTGTGGTAATCTGCGGTAAATTTCAGTCAGCCGGTTATCGATTAAAGGGCGGGTGTACTGACCACTAGCAGTTCACTCCGTCCTCCTTGGCTGTGAGACATGGCTCCCATCGAAAGTGGAAGACAAAAAGTGCTGGCTAGCTAGCTGTCTTTGATCATAGGTGTCTGTCTGCCTTCTCCTCTCGTGTTAGGTAGCGGATGGTATTATAAGATGAGCGACATTGAGGTTAGCGTCGGTCGAGTGCTAGGTGAGTTGGTGGAGAAATCAATCGACGAGGTGGTGAAGTTACACGGTTGAGAGCGATGGTTGGGACATGTGTTACGCATGCCTAGCCTAACCATTGATCGCCTTCTTCGACAACAGGCAGTATTAGACGCTGACATAGGATGGGTCAGGTTGGAAAAGAGAGTTGGCTAGTGATGGTGGTGGTTGTCAAACCAAAACATGGCTTCATCACCAGTCAATGGAATAAATCCACAACAGTTAGTTTAAGCCAGTCACGTAGGGAGGTCCAGACATCCTGACTGGCAGGTTGGGATCATCGGGATGGTAAGAACTAATGACGGTGGTTGGAGACAATTGGTGATATGGCTCAAAATCGCCGTTGTCAATGGCTGGCGCAGATGCATCCACTCCTTGTGATTTATCTTATCCAACAAAACTATTTTGTGCTTCAATGTTACTATTCTTTTTACCTCACATTCCTGTTTATTGTTTCTGATTCTTTTGAATGTCTTTACTCTCTTCCCTTGCCTTATATGATGCTACATGGAGGGAATGTGACAACTGGAATTGCTTCACAACTGTACAAAGTAGTTCTACGTTGAAAACAGTCAGTATATAAGTCATAACATCTATACACAATCTAAATATGGACAGCCACCTTTAATGTTGGTTTAGGGAAGAATTCAAAACAGTCAACAGTTTCATTCAATCAGAAATAATTCGCTCATATCTTTATGGAATAGAATCTCTTGGCATTAATAAGGGAAAATCCAAACTTCATGTTCAGAAATGTTATATCCAGCCTCTCCCTAGATTCTGTGCTCTCGTTTCTGATCAGTTATTTTGACATAACTATTTTTCGATTATGTAAGATTATTCATCATCTTTCACACATTAGTATTTCTCATACACTTCGATTTGTACATGTTACTAATTGAATGTGAAATTATAAATAGCTTTAAAGGACAACTCACGATACTTTTATTATCTGTGTTGATAACCTTACAGCTATTGAATTTCTCAGAAAATGTAACGGTTGTCAGCCCACCTATGCTTTTCAATATTGAAAAAGACTCGAACATCAAATTTCGCTTTCTAGATGTTATTCTAGACAGAAGAGAGGATGGATCATTGAAAAGGTCGATCTACTAAGAGCTAACCTTTACATGGGGAGTACACTAACTTCAACAGTTGAGTAACTCTGGGTACAATGAAAATCTTTTCCTTTCTTTATGATTCATAATTCAAAAATTTCGCTCTATGTAGATAGTCAATAAAGGACTGTAAAACATTTGTACAACATTCTTGACTAACGGGTATCCTAGAAGGTTTATTGAAAGAAACTAATCCCTGCTAAAGAAGATACTTCAATGAGTTTGGCATCCAAAAGTGATACCATTACTGAAGTGTTTGAAATCTCCTGTCCAGGTGTATTAACCACTCTTTTTCTATGCCGCCGGCTTATACTTAGTGTTCCGTAACTGAAATATGTTTCGACAATGCATCAAGGATAAACTGCTTCTTATGTTATATTTCTATGTACAATCTACTCTATCAAATGCTCCTGTGCAGCTGATTACATTAGACTTTGTAAGTGCGTTTTCCAGAAACATGTAGGTAAACACCACCCATACTCTCGCATGGTCTACGAGTACGACTTTTGCATACAGCAGAGGCAATCGGAATTCATCTAAACAAGCCAAATCTATGCGTTGGTTCAAAAGAAATTTGTACAGCCCCTTTCTTTGCCATGGCCAACCACATAATATGTATTAAGTTTTTAAAAACAATTTCCCCCCTCCCTTTGTAAATATCTTTTGACTTTGTTAATTTTTACAATTCTAGCTAATTCTATTAATTTGTTTGTATTTGACGCAATTCTTCTGAGTCATCCTATTCTTCTTAGTTGTCGTCATTAGTATTTTACAAATTTCTTGATTATGTAATAACTTGTGGCTAACTCCTAGAAATTAATTAGCTTATCTTGAATTCCATAATTAATTTTCTACACCGAAGACTAACTGATAAGGTCAAGATTCATCTGTATTCAAAGGTTCAAATTAGGAGGGTGAAGTAATTTAGTAAAACTAAAAAAGTAGATTTCAAAGGAAAACCAATAAAATAACTTACTTTACCCGGTTGAAGATTTTTTAAGTCTATGAGGGAAATTTTATCTGATGGTTTAATTTTATTGTAATCAGATGGATTGGCGAAAGTTAGGGGAAGCAGACCTTGCTTCTTCAGATTTGTTTCTGTGAGATGTAGATTGGGAAGGAGAACAAAAATCAAGATGCTTTTAAACAACAGATATGTAATGTTACTTAAGAAAAATTTTCTTCAATAAATTAGTCTTCAAAATAGAAACCTTACTGCGTCCTAATGACTCGTCGCATAACTCCCAAGTAAAACCAATTGTCCAACAAAAATACTAGCCTTGAAGTTCATAAAGTTGCTAAACACTCAGGAACGCTGCCAGATCAGACGGAATCACCACAGAAGCAGTGAAGACGAACCCAGAGACCTCAGTGAATATGTTCACGCCAATAGTGGAGAAAATACAGAGGTAAAGTGTTCTGTATTGCTGCTGAGTGAGTTATTAGAGTTTTTCCCGTCGTCAATTATGTTATGTACTCGTCGAGTAGTTAATAGTCCTGATGCGGAAAGAGGGAAATCAGGAGACCACCAGGTTTACGATGATACTTGTATTTTCCAGACAAGGAAAATAAATGTCACACTAGTGTGTGAGTGGAAGAGTACTTAGATGTACGAAATGTGTGTGAACCAGAATAATGTACAAGTGTCTAATAAAAAGTATATATGAAAATGGCTAATACACATGAACTAATGAGATAACCTCTTACCATGATTGGTTGTAATGCCATGTGATAATAAGGTCATACATTGTTTATTTAGTTAGCGGAGCATAATGTCAGTTATAATGGAATATCGATCCATATACACATAGCAAAATATAACAGACTGTCAAAAACAAAACACACATCATGTGGATACATATCATAAAGAAAGGTACCTAATGATTGGAAGAAAGCCAAATTTTTAAAACTATTAAATAAAGCATCTTACGTCCACGCTTCTGCTCGCATCAAACGAAAAATTATGTGGCATCATCGTAGAAACATACTTCAGATAAAGATTTCGCCTAAAGTATACTGCATTCATGAAAAGTATATCTCGAGCCAGTTAACTTACAGTACTGTCAATAATTACCATAATCGAGCAGAGGCCCAGAATGATAGTCATCTCAACTTCATCGACTTGAAAAAGCCTTCGATAATGTCAACCACGAATTTTGAAATTGTTTCAGCAGTAAGGATTGAAACAGACATTTCGAAATTCCATTCAACAGCTATATGATGATACCCACGTGTTAAATAATTAACAGCGGAAAGTTAAACCAAGCGTCTGGAGTGAAGTTTTTGAAATGATTCACAGTTGTTTAAAATAAGTGGCCAATTTTTTCACCCACCCCCACCATAAATAATAATACAAGAGCGTTTACCAGCAATGATTCAGATAAAAAAATATTAACCTACTAATGAGCCTTTAATTGTTGGTGGATAGCAGTAGAATCCGTCCGACTAGGGACTTGTCATATGGATGTAGTTCCATCCACAATGGGTGATGGAGCTTCAATTAAGATTCAAGGCATATATATTTTGAAATACACACTCATTTTCACTATTGGCCAGTGATTCAGACACCTATTGGACAAAGAGTATCTGCTGTTATCTGTTGGAATTATTATTCTGAATTACCAGTTGATTAATTCATATTTGACCGTGGGAACAATACCACTCACTGAGAATACGGGCAATTCTAGGTTACGAGACCGAGAGTGAAAAAAACGGACACACTGGATTCTAATGGTAGTCATTATCAATCAAATGACACGCTGCTAACATCCAGGCATCATCGAAATTTCCCTACTAAGGGCTGATATAGTGTCAACAGGAAATAAAAACATGTCGATGAAATAAGATGAAAACATCGAGAAATTCAAAATAATGATTTCAAACGACCACTACTACTGATTAGTAGTTTGTGTATTAGTTCAGATAAACATTTTAAATTTCTCTTTCTGACTAGGAGTTAACAGAATAAGGCACGTTGATATAAATGAACTCACAACACACTCTAGAACTGTGAAGCTTCACTGCCACTTATTTGAAGAAACCTATAGACTAAGCGATCAATGAACAAAAACGATATATTAAGAAAAATTTTACGAGTTCACAACTTAAAGTAGAATGTGTCGGTGGCACAGTGGTTAGGACTGTCGCCGACCATGCCCATGGTCGGGTTTCGACCCCCTGCTGACGCACGCCCGGTATCTATAGTCGGCCTGCAAAATTTTGACTAGCGATATCACATGCTGAAAATTCCATACTTGTACCGAAAATACGGTGTGGCATCAAGCTGTGATCAAAATAAATAAAGTAACTTCATCGAATTTGATAAGACATTTTACGGTGTCGGAAATGAAGTAATTCAATACCACTGAGTGCTGTAAATACGTGTAAATCCCGTTACACAGCGATGTGATGACGTCACACACTAAGTAATTGACAACGGAAAGCTCAGAGTAGCGTTTGAAGTGAAGACAGGAGTGTCAGCCAAGACTGTTAACTACCAAAGATGATTTTCCTAACTGTGATGAGCCAGATTATACAGTAGGCTATCTGCAGTCAGAAAATGACTTTATGTTAACTCACCAAAAGACCAAAGAAGGTGATGCTTTATGACTTATGTTGCACAAACTCGTAGACTTACAAGCGGGAAACAACAAAATGATAGAAGTAGCTAAGGCTGGGGATACAGATACCCGACCAACAACAACTAGTATCATGAATAGGAGAAGTGTAAAAGAAGTTGTCTCTATCAATACGACATTGTATGGAAATGTCAATATAGATTTATTTTGAAACTATGCAATATCTGTCTGGATTCGACATAGAACTTGGCACCAAAGTGCACCAGTTCGAGTTGCCACGTATGCAATATCTAAGCGAGGCATAGGACTTTTGGTCTGGAAAGTTTGATATTGTTCCTTACTGAGAATATTTTAAGACAAGTTATCAAGTGACAGGAAGATGTATATTATAGGGGATGATTCGTTTTCTGATATTCATCAGTGAAATATTAAAACTAAATTTTTGAAGTCTTTATTTCCAATTAAGATTGAAACAGGTACCTACTGTTTATATACTATTAAATCCTAAACAGAATTTTATGAGCAGTGAAATTCCACGGTAAAAATTCAAGTCTAAGAAGTGGCCAGTATTTCAGTAGGCGAACTCTTGTTAGCCATGCCGGAGATCCGGGCAGACGCACTCCCGGTTTACTACCTGGTAAGTAAGCCTGTAGAAAAGGGGAGATTTAGCATAAGGTTAACATCACTACTGCTACCGAAACTTCAAAGCTTGAAGGCAAGAGTGAAAAAGAAATGACAGTCCACCTATCGACAGAACTCTGCTAAGCACAATATCTCCTTAGGAGCTGACAGGATTCGGTTGTTTACGCGGGATACGCTGTTTCTATCCCGTAATTCCCTAAGTACTAGTTTCGCTTAAACCAGAGAAAATTATAACACCAAAAAACGAGATCCGAATCGTACTGCGATGGTGACTGCTTAGCTAGTTAGGGACCGTGCACGAATGAACAAACGTAACATGACAGCGTGCTAAATGGCGTGGAGGCTTCATTACAATTCTCCAGCTAAGCAAGTCGACTTAAACAGTGTATAGGTCGGTGTGTAATGTTAAGTATTGAATGCTTTGGTCTAATAATTTTGGAGACTAAATGGCTTAAACATGGATTTCTACATAACCATTAAGAGGTAGCAGTATCTCATTCTATAACAATCCTCCAGGTGAATCTTAACCCTGTGAGTGTCAACCATAAGTGCAATTTCAGGGTTCTAAGGCTTTCTTTCGGATCAAGGTTACTGATGTATTTTGAGAATAGTGTGTTAACACTTTCGAGCGATACAAATCTTTTTCATTTGTTATTGAAATCCTATGATCATATTAGGTTAGGAGTGTTTCTCACATGATCTATAAACCAGACATTTGACCGTAAAGTAGGTTAAAGGTCATGACATTGGATTTTTATTGAGACATCTTAACCAGTCAGAATATAGTTTTATATGCAAAACTAGTAATTTATACGTCATGTGAAATAACTATTTACTTTCAAGTGCCAGATCGCAGTCTAGAACTGTGAAGCTTCATTACCACTTATTTGAAGAAACCTATAGACTAAGCGATCAATGAACAAAAACGATATATTAAGAAAAATTTTACGAGTTCACAACTTAAAGCAGAATGGTTTACATAAAAGGACCCAACAACCCCGTGCATTTCTCTACACAGGTGGCATTCATCCACACCTAATATGTGAGGGTTGATGATACAAGTTAACTGCCCTGGTCTAGGTACGAAGGCACAAGATTCGAACGCTCCATCCACTAAGTTGAATGTCGATAGTTTAGATCAATAAAGCTACCATAAAAGGATTATAGACTCAATGTCACATCTAATTGGCTGTAAATAGCTTCACTCTTTTTTGAGATGAGCTGTTCTCACCTTAATTGCTAAATGTATTCTACTTTGTTGGCAAGAAATCATCATGAAAAAACAAGGGTTACCCTCAGAGAATCATTAACAAGTAGGGAAGATCTGAAGACTCGAACAACGAAAAATCCACAGTGGGAAAAAAGCCTGTCTCCATTCAACTCGATATTGAAAACGAAAATATTGTAGCAATAGTCAACGGAAGAATGAGTACGTCCCTAGCAGAGCCTATGCCGCAGCCAAGTTGGTTCCCGTCTGTCGAACAACTTGCTCATTGGTGCAATCAAAATCGATAGATATCCTTCTCACATTAACTCCAACTGTATATACAAATTTACATATATCTACGGGTGCAGTTACATTGGAAGAACAGAAAGAAGTGCATATCTACGATTTCCTGAACATGTACCAAAAAGGCTATGTCTAAAGGAGCAAATGCTTTAAATCGTACCATCCCCAGACATCTCCTTGAAACGGGTCATGAGGTGGACGTCGCAAAATCGGTGAACATTATCAATAGACAAAAGAGTTTAGTTCTGCTTAAGTTTGCCGAAGCGATCTCCATCAAGCGCCTGAAACCCGATTTATACGTTCAGAAAGGAGCGATTATCAGTCTTTCCTTACCATGGTAACTGGATATTTTCACCCTTTCCTTCACCTGATTACGTAACGCCGAAAGATTCGATTGTGTATGATTATTATTGTTGTTTGGAACACAAAGTGGTTACTATTATTATTAGCATTGTATGCACATACTGATTTTTAATTTAAAAATGAACTCTGTGTAAGCCTGTTAAAATTATTGCTGTAGATAGACTTAACAATGTCTTTGGGCTATAAGCAGCTGATGAGAAGCTAACGAAATAAACAAAGGATAGTACGACCTTATATAGCAAAAACTATTGTTGTTGTTGCCTTATTCCAAAACTAATAAAAATCAGCCAACGGAAAATACAAAATAACTTAAACCAACATTTAGAATGCAATTCAAGCTCGCTCATGTATAAATCGACAGATAGAAAACTGGATTTATTCAAGTCAAACGGGTTGCAAACTAGCACAATCGGTACTAGCTGAATCATATTAAGCGCGATGTACCAGTATATTTCACTGTTATGGACTCTGATGAGGTATTTTGATGCTCTCGTGCAAATATGATGCATTTGAAGCTTTTCCTTTAATCGATTAGTTAGTACAGAGAACAACGCAAAAATATACCTTTTACAATGATAGAAATTAAAAAAAAGTATCATCAGAGTCAAGCACAATCATGACTCAACTCCAACGACTCTCTCATAAGAAAAGAAGAGAACTACATTCAATGGGAAATGGAATTGATTCAGTGTAGTAAGCGGGAACGAAATCCAATTCGCAATATTTGTAATTTGCACGGTTTGAGGTATAAATTCATCAAGACCACCTATGGGAATCAAAATTATTCATTTACCAATGGCGTGGTCTTGTCAATACTTCTCAATAATTGTCAATGAACGAAGTGAGAATAAATGCATGGTGGTATATATTTACTGACTGGTATTATTATTATTGTTTCTGTTAATTCCTAGAGTAACATAGGGTTTCAGCCACACGTCTCCATTGCGTTCGGTTTTCTGCCAACGTTTTCACCTGGCTCCGCGTCTGCCCACATGCATCCATCTCCTCTTCGCATGACCTCTTTCATTTTCTGCCTATATGATCTTGAGTAATAGAGAGCGAAGACAGCTGTTGATGAAGTTCTGGAGTCTGTTTTTAGTGCTCTCCATGAGGCGCCAAGTCTCCATTCCATAAAGTAGCAGTGATTTCACACTGGAGATGAAAATCCGGATTTTTTTTTTCAATGATGAGTAATGCTGTTGATCTTCACACAGACTTGAGAGTAATGAAAGCTCGCCTTGCTTTCCCGATCGTCGCTTTCACATACTCATCAGTTCCGTCCGCCTATAGTCGAAACGAAGCTACGCTGGATAGTAAAGGAGGTTTCTTCTTTTAAGTTTCTCCCATTTGCACTGATTCTTATCTGTTGTTGTTGCTGTTGGCGAAGAATCTTCATCACCTCTGTTTTCTCTATGTTCACCTGAAGTCCTAGCTTTGATGCTTCCACTGCCAACTGGTTGCTTTTCGCTTGAATATCTTCCCGTTTGAGGGAAATTAGACATATATCATTGGCGAAGTCCAGATCCTACAAGTTTTTCGTGCGGGTCCATTTTATGCATGTCTCCTCGTTTCCCAATCTCTGTCACATTATCCAGTCTACAGCAATCAGGAAAATCATTGGAGAGAAGCAGTCTTGTCTTACTCTCGTCTTCGCTTCGAAGGAGTTTTCTGTTGTGGATTACTTGGCATGTAGCATTGTCGTACAACTGTTGGATGAAGTGCATAATTGTTGGCAGCACTCCGTAGTAGTGAAGTCAGATAATAATGGTTATTAGGCAGATCGAAACTATATAAATACCGGACGGACGTTTCTGTCATTTGGGGTTGAGCTCATTGATGGGTGGTGTGTCAAATCAAGCCCAAAACGAGTGAAACGGCAAGCATTGATTGTTGAAGTAAGTAGTTTTCATTTACTTTTATCAATCAATCAATTGTATATAACACCATGTAATTAAAACTATATCACCTTTTACAAGGAAGTAAAGTCAACTAACTAACTTACCATGTATACGCGCAAAACTTTTCACAATAATCGCTCGTCCACCTAAATGTCTAGGCTCTAAAGCAGCATGCTCTCGACTACTTCCTTCACCATAATTCTCATCACCGACAACACACCAGCTTACACCGTCAGCTTTATACTTTCTAGCTACCACTGGAACTGTATCCCATTTACCAGATTCACGATGTAATATTTTATTGACTTCACCATTCTCTTCATTAACAGCACTAGAACAGTCGGAATACAAAAATATCAGCAACATTAAATATAGTATCACAATTGTGTGTGATTATTCAAACTGTCAGATGATTTTCAAATGAATTTAGTGTATTCTAAAAATGTTAGTGAGTTGTGGATAATAAGTACAGTCCCAGTCGCAGAATATGAAAGAATGTAACGTGTGAGGTGTTATGTGAATCTTTACACAGAACGGATCTCTAACTAACCGATGACTCCCACATTTACTGTTTGAGGGTTGCGTAATACTACATGGATGCTCAGGATGAAAGAGGTAAAGTGATTAGACATATGACTTGTGTACACACATAAGACTTATTCAATGCGTTTTTACTTCTCAAATCAGTGAAAATTTCTATAATACTTTTTAATCGATAAACTACTACCACCGGTTTCAAATCCCGGTGAGTGTGTACTGCTGGAGAGTCCCAAACTAGCCTGACGAAACGGCTGTCCAGTACTCCCATGTTTCCCAATAGTTCTCTAACTGATGTCAGCTCATAATGAAACCCTCCAACCATTCATACTACGTAATAGTTTAAAAACAGCCTGATGTTTAATACTGGGATTCAGAATAATAATTCACTTTTAGACAAAAGTTGAAAGTGAAAAGTGATGTCATATTGAGATGACTACCAGAAAACAATACTGGATTTGGGTTCGTCCTTAGTGATGTTTTAAAACAATAGACGATTGACTACTGATTGATTACTCGGATATTATTTCAATACTGTAAAAGACACAGAAAACTGAGTTGAGAACGTAAAAAATTATTGCTCCGAAGGAAAAACAATATAATTAGATACTACAGCTTATTATATATATATATATATATATATTTCACATGACTAATAAATTAATCATCTGCGATATAAGAATCATTTTGACTAGATAGCATAGATCAATGGAAATTCAATGGTGATGTGACGCTTAATGTACACACATAAGGGTAGAATATCTGTTTTGAACAGATTATATTGGAAAATATTGACTCATAATATATCTACTCATATCGTAAAACCCAATGGACTGTGAACCATATGAACTTACTGTATTAACGAAAACTACTCAACTGCTAATGACACCAGAGAATACCTCGATACCATAACATGCGAGGAGGCAGACTGTAGTGAACACCAGCCAAAACACGATTATGGGTAAAATTTTATTTCGATAAAATCACATTGTAGTATTACACAGTTATATTTACTAATGACCACGTTCCGAGCACAATTTATTACTGGAGCTCATAATCATATCAAGGTACTCACATAACTTTCTTGCTTCCTTTATATACCTGAGTAAAAATGGACTAGACATTTAAATAAAGTAAGACTTGCATCAAACAGAGTGGAAAATAAAGCACATTTGGAAATACTAATATGAGTGTTATCAATGAAATACAAAAGGATGGGAAATAACTCACTCAGATACGGGCACTGTGTAGGCTAAAGGATCCGGTGAACCCAGTTAGAAAAAATATAATTTACAAAATACCTTGCAATTACTGTGAGTTAGGTCAACTACATAGGTCAAACTAGTGGGTCAGGAGTAGTGAGATTATCAGAACATAAGAATTTAGCTAAGGTTAGAATGATTGATCCCATGAAGATAACTAATTTAGAGAAAAACTCAGCAATCACACTGCATGCATTAGCACAGCACAACAAAATATAGTGGGACAGAGTCCAAATTCTAAAAATCAATGTAGGTAGGTGGACAGGGAAATTGATTAGCGAGTCCTGATTCATCAAGTCTACACCCAACACACGCAATAGAAGTGACTCAACGCAAATACCAGAGATATGGAAGATATTATTACCAGTCAAATCAGAGGATAATAAATAGTCTTAAAATGTACTCAATTCACATTATAACAAGTTATTTATTTTACTATAAAAACTTCTTATTGTATTTCATTGATAACACTCATATTAGTATTTCCAAATGTGCTTTATTTTCCACTCTGTTTGATGCAAGTCTTACTTTATTTAAATGTCTAGTCCATTTTTACTCAGGTATATAAAGGAAGCAAGAAAGTTATGTGAGTACCTTGATATGATTATGAGCTCCAGTAATAAATTGTGCTCGGAACGTGGTCATTAGTAAATATAACTGTGTAATACTACAATGTGATTTTATCGAAATAAAATTTTATCTATAATACAATTATACTCTATCGCAGTGCCCAAGTTTTATCCTTATGTCAACAGTTAAAAACACTTGACTAGATTCCAAATGATCTTGAAAAACACTATATTCATTCGCAAGAGATAACCAACAAATGAGCACCTGGGCTTGACAGTGAATGATATGAAGTGCACGATAAGATAACTCAGAAAGCGAAAGTTATTTTAAGGTTATAGATAATTTTAAAATATAAGTCGGTGGCACAATTGTTAGGACTTTCGCCGACCATGCCCGTGGTCCGGGATTCGAACCCCTACGGACACACACCCGATATCTATGGTCGGCCTGCAAAATTTGGGCTGCCGATATCACATGCTGAAAATTCCATACTTGTTCCAAAAATACAGTGTGGTATCCAGCTGTAATCAAAATAAAATAAATATATTCTTACCCAATAAATAAATTGTTTGAAATATTATCTAAATGACCACGATATTTTAACCATTGACCAGCTGCTGATATATGATCTGTTGTGCATTTTCCTTTAATTTTAATTAATATTGGCATATTGACTAAATCTTTTCCATCCCATTTATTAAATGGAGTTAACAGTTGTAAACGTTGACTTGACGGGTCGACTTTCACAGCAATCTTTGAAGTATCCTCTGGTGGAGGTTGATAGGTGTCTTGACCAGCATCAAAACCTTTCTTAGGCAATGTATCGCCTATATGTGCACATGTATATGTGTGTAGGCATAGATTGAAAGCAAAAACCAGAAAAGAATTAATTAAAACAAATAGATGATTACTATTTTCATTTGAAGATGAAAATAATATGATTATTATTTCAATAAACAGAGACTACTATTACATTGAAGTTCAGGATGTGCATGTTAACATAGACTGAGCAATTCTATCCTACATTTACAATCCATGGAAAATGTAAATGAACTCAAAAAATAATAATAGTAGTAATAATCGATACCCGTTACAAAAGACATGTTCCATGTAGCGGCCTAGAGGATAATGCTTTGGTATTTGAACCGTTGGGTGTTGGCTTCCAGTTCTAGTGGGAATACCATCACTCACTGGGGAATGAAGATACATTCAGGAGGCGAGTCCCAAAAAGGATGGAAAGTGTGTTATAAACTATATATGTCCAAACCAAGTTCACTTTTAATAGTATGAGAAAATTTAGGCATTGGGTATATGATATTCATTAAAATCAAGGTTTTTTGTACCTCCCGATGAATGAAAAACGAAACGATATTGTTTTTACTGATGTTCCGCTCTTTATTTCTGCTGCTAATAGCTTTATCAATGTAGTATGATTAAACCAGAATTTACAAAACCTTAGTCCACATGTAACAGCTTTGTCATTCTACATCAGCATGGAGTAATTTTTACCTTGTGAAGTTGGTCACTTAGTAAAGATAGCAAAACCAAGAGCACATTGCTGAATTTGATAAGTGTATAAGATTATAAAAGCAGCGTGTGTTTACATAACGAAGTCGCTTATCACATTCGTGTTGATTTTGTCACTTCATGGGGAGGAGGGTGTTGCAATCAAGTCAAATTGTTTTAGTTCATCATTCCTATTCAGTTCAGACAATTTGGCTTCCTTCCATTTGATATGAAGTGCTTCTGATATTAGACGTTCTTTGTGATCTCTGAAATTTTTATGGATAATTTCAATATTGTCAAAATCAATTTTGTGACCTGATTCTATAGCGTGTAGACGAGCTATGACTGATGATTTCCCAAGTTTTTCTAGTTCAACTGGATTTCTCGGTGATGGAACAGATGTTCTACGGTGTTCGTTTCTTCTGATTTTGAATTCTCGAGATGTTTATCCGATGTATATCGCATCACATTCCAAGGACTTTATTTTATAGACAATTAGATAGAGAATCTTTAGGGATTTGGTCTTTTATATGGACAATGTTGTTTTGCAGTTTGTCTGATGTTCTGAAGAAAACTCTGATTTCGAGCGTATTGAGTACTCTTCTGATATCGTCTGACGTCTTTGCTCAATATGGAATGACAACTGTTGAGGTCCATGTTTTCAGAATACGTTTTTGACCGTACTTAATGTCAGTGTTGATTTTGTTGATGAAGTCCTTTGGGTAGTTATTTTGCTTGAGATATTTCTTCTTCTTTTTTCTTCCTCATCCGTTAACATGAGAAAGTGTGCTCCTCTAAGAAGACTTGAAACAACTGATAGCTTTGCGCAGATGGGGTGGGATGATCCGAAGTCTAAATATTTGTTGGAGTGGTTTTTCTTCCTAAATACAGATACACTGAAATGGCCGTTTTCCTTCCTCTTAACTAGACAGGCAGTCTAATCGACGTCAGATTCTGCTTCCGAAGTAAACTGGATTCTGGGAGATAGACTGTTTAGTTTCTTCAAGAATGAACTGTGTAGATCTCGTTTTAGCACTGCAAAAGTATCATCTACATATCTTAATCATATTTAAGGAGTGAGTATGCTTGAAAAAATGTTATCTTCGAATCTATTCATGAAAAGATCAGTGACTAGTGGGAAAACTGGTGGTGAATTACAATACAAAATAACAGCATGTAATTCAATTCAGAGGTGGCTCTTGTGTCCCAAGTGGTCTAGTGGATAACCCTTTGGCGCTTGAAACTATGGGCACTGGGTTTGAAACTTGGTGGGAACACCATCACTCATTGAGCAGTACAGGTACTTCCAAATGACGAGTTCCAAATAGGATGGAATGCGCATCCTAGATCCTAGAGTTCAGTCAGCACCAAACCAAGGACTAGACGCACAACACTAGTTACTACCTAGTACCCAGTCATACAGGAGGTCAATCGTGAACCTAAATAGTTCAGTGGTAACGTTTCTGACTGCAGCGATGGGTGCCACGGATTCGAAGGAACGTGATTCTCTCTAAGACTGCGGATACGTCCTGCTGACAAATGCCACCTAGCACGAAACCTGAGTAAAAGGTTTCCTATCGACTGCCTCTACACCACATCTATCTACTAACAATAAATAAAACTCAGCTAACGTGATTTAACTGTCACCCACTATACATGCATGCTTATTTTGTAAATATGCCTATCAAGCAGGAGAGAAAAAATGAAGCAGTACTAACTTACCTGTTGGTGGTTTCAATTTAAATTTTGAACCGTCAGCTGCAACTAATTCATCCTTTAATGGATTAAAGGTTAAACTTCCGCCAAGAGCTAGAGCTGTTACTATCTCAGGTGAGGTAACAAAAGCATGCGTAGCTGGATTAGCATCATTACGACCAGTGAAATTACGATTATACGATGAGACAATTGTATTCTTATCACCTTTCTTTGTATCCTATAATTCATTCAGTACAATAGTAGTGTGATAAATAGGATAGATAAAGTAAAATTAGAACAATGCAGTGCTAATAATGGTTTTTAATAAATGACTTGTTACCAGCAAACATGCGAATTGCTGGCCTAACCGTTAGATTTCCACTCAGTCAGTCATAGATCTGAAACTCGCTCCATCTACTCTTCAACCTCTAGAACAACTAATGGGTAATACCATCAGTCTGCATCATCATCCATGTAGCTATAACCCTCGTACACGTAAAATCTATTCTCAGTAACACAGTTCAGACGACTTATTCCTAACTGTGATGGACTGAATTATGAGGAAGACTGTGTCGGGAGCAAGAAGGCAGGAGTACGTCGGACCAGTAAGACGACTCTATCTGGATTTCGCAGATGACTTGTATAATGTCAAACACACTCGAAGACTTACAAGCGAAAGCCAAAAAGCTGGCAGAAGAAGCAGGAAAGACAGGACTTCAAGTAAACATAGAGAAGACGGAAAAGATGAGAATCACCAGCCAACAAAAACAAGAAGCATTAATCACTATCAGTGGAATAAATATGAAAGCGGTCGCTCCCTTCATTCACCTAGGCAGTATCGTTTTAACTACAGGCGTGAGTAATAGAGAGATTTCGCGTGCGTTTCGGATTGTGAGGGTGATTGTTACTTCCCGGCTGCCCACACCGTGGAAGTTGGTTGCGTGACGGCAGAGCCCAGGGGACAACTGCTTGGGGCCGGTTACACGCGGCCTGCTTTATTTTGTTCTTTGTTGTTTTGTGTGCCTCAGTAGCATATTTATCACTCCTGCCCTGTGACACGGCAGCAGGAAGTGCGGTCGTTGTTAATCCGGGTCACGGCCGATCCGGCATGAAATTTTGTGATTTTGTATTTATCATGATGTTGGACTGGGTAGCTGCTTTTTGTTTAACCGCTATCCAAACAACCTGCCTGGCATGGTAGGACCTCAAGAGACATAAGTCTCAGCCAGCATAGCTTGAATAGATCATTGCGGTGTTCAAGCCCAACCACCACGTCAAGGTAGCAGCTTTCGGTCGGGCAGATGAACAGAGCAGATGAGAACGTCAAAACCACAATTGGAAAAGAAAGACAGACCTGCATCACTTTGAAACCAGTTTGGAAATCTCTTACATTCAGTGTTGAGTCATTCACTTCCTCTCCAAGGGTAAGAAACTTGCACTGTGCGTGAGTTACGAAAAGCATTTCCAGAAATTTACAGACATTTACCAACAGCTTCCACTACGCTCCATATTGTAGATAAAATGGCCGGCCGGCCAGAAAGAATTAGCAACAAGAAACTCTAGGAACAAACCAATCAACAACCTAATGCTGAACAACTATAACGAAGAAAATGGAGATTGATGGGCACACGCTCAGATCATCGAATGACATCGCGCATCATATATACCCTCCGGTGGAACCCTGATTGGAAACGACGAGTGCGGCGACTGAGGGTGACATGGAGATGATAGAATATGTGCAATCGTAGGGCCCGCCAGCTAAAGAGGATAGAAGAGAACAGGACGAAGTGCAGATGAGCTGTTGAAGCCCTATGTTGATATGTAGTCACATGATGTCTGTTTTGGTTTTGACAGTCTGATATATTTTGCTATGTGTACATTAATCGATATTTCATTATAGCGCACAATATACTTTGTCTGTCCATTAACCAGATAAACAATGTATGACCTTATCATCACATGACATTACAACCAATCAGAATCAAATGGTAAGAAAAAACTACTGTCTATCTTATTGGTTCATGTATATTAGTCATTTTCGCATATACTTTTGTATTGTACACATATATATACACTTGTTCACACATTTCGTACACTACATATCCTTCCACTCTCACACTAGTGTGACAGTCATTTTTTTCCTTGCTTAGAAAATACAAGTATCATCATGGACGTGGTGGTGTTATGTACTCGTCGAGTAGTTAATAGTCCTGATGCGGAAAGAGGGAAATCAGGAGACCACCAGGTTTACGATGATACTTGTATTTTCCAGACAAGGAAAATAAATGTCACACAAGAGTGTGAGTCAATTGGTACAAGTGTACGAAAAAGTGTGTGAACAAGAATACAGTACAAAAGTATATATGAAAATGGCTAATACACATGATCCAATAAGATAACGTCTTACCATGATTGGTTGTAATGCCATGTGATAATAAGGTCATACGTTGTTTATTTAGTTAGCGGAGCATAATGTCAGTTATAATGGAATATCGATCCATATACACATAGCAAAATATAATAGACTGTCAAAAACAAAACACACATCATGTGGATACATATCAGGTGGTCTTCCGATTTTCCGCCTTTTTGCGTCAGGACAATTAACTACTCGACGAGTGCATAACAGAAAATTGGCGACGGGGAAAACTATGGATCCTTCTAAGGCAAAGTTAAACTTTCGACACCACTAACAACCAATCAGAAAACGACCTTGAACGGACCAGTCACATTAAAGAGGCATGTATGATGAATGGAAATGTATATTTGTAGAAAAAAGCATAAAATAGAGAATAAAAAAGTTACATGGGATATCTTTCTCGAACATGTGACAGAAACATCTCCCAGTTTAGCATGGGACTGTCAATGGAGAAGTTACACCATATCCTGTACATATATTCATCCAAATGACCATATATGAGATCCATTTATAGCCCTTATCCTATTTTTCAACCTACCCCAAAATCCTTCAATAGAATTTGTATGTGTCCTCGTAACGGGATCCACAAAATCACTTGAATGGTTGACTCTATGATGAATATATCCCAGAGATGACAGTGAATTGTAGCCTTTCCACTTGTCGGTGTGTATAATTGACCCCCGCTTAACAAGTCTGGTAATAATAGGTATAAGAGTAGTTGCTTTTCTATCTGCTATCCTTAGGGAAAGAAGCGACCTACCGAAAAAAGTTCCTACGAAATATTAAAATTATCAGCTTACTCTCTCCAGCGTTAGTAGGCTTCAAACATATAGCACAACGATGAACAAACCCATCTGTTGATTTGGTATAGCTTTTTAAAGTCATGATACCACCACACAAACAAATTCGCTCTTTCCGGCGCAACTCAAATCCAGGAAATACTGGAAAACGCTAACCTCCTCGAATTGCAACAATAGCTTTGTAAGGTCACGCATTAGAAATGAATCAAGCGCTATAGAACATCGAACTGCGTTCGTGAACCTCATTGGATAATTCGACATCGTTCGTGAATCTCATTGGATAATTCGCTGATTGGTAGTTAGTGGTGTCGAAAGTTTAACTTCGCCCCTTCTAAATTGGAATTACTATTTGAGCAACAAATGAAATTAATGGAAATGCTCATCAACCAACAAACTGGTTCAACTTCACATTCAAGCAATCCGAATCATAACATGCTACCATCTGTCGATGGATTTGTGAATAGTATTACACAATTCAATCGTGATCCAGATGCTAATGTCACTTTTGACACATGGTATCAACGATATGAGGATTTATTTACAGTTGATCTCGCCTCACAAGACGACGCTTGGAAGGTGCGAGTGTTATTACGTAAATTGGGTCCTGCAGAATATGAAAGGTGCTGCAACCTAATTTTACCCCAGAAACCAAGTGACAAATGTTTCGATGATACAATAAAGCTGCTGCGTGAACATTTTGGAGACCACTCCTCATTATTCAGCATACGTTATCGTTGCCTCAAGTTGACAATGAATGAAAATGATGATTTTCTTACTCACGTTGGCACAGTCAACCGAGAATGTGAGAGATTTCGACTCAGGTCCTTAACAGATGATCAATTCAAGGCCTTGATTCTCAAATGCAGTCTTCAATCTCCTCGTTTCACAGATATTCGAACTCGACTGCTCAATCAGTTAGAGCAAAATCCCAAGTTAACTCTACATGATATAGCTGATGAATATCAACGACTCATTAATTTACAGAAAGACACACACCTGGTCGAATCAACACCTTCGAGAAGCTTTGACATCCGTGCATTACGAAAGAGCAAAAATCTCTCATCATCCAGTCCTAACCCACCTTCTCCTAATGTTCCACGTAAGCCTACACAAACTCGTCCAGCCTCTCAAATTACTGCAAAGAAGATCCCACCATCACCATGCTGGCATTGTGGCGCGTGGCACTTTGTAAAGTCCTGTCCATACAAAAATCATCGTTGCAAGAAGTGCAAAGTCATCGGTCATAAAAATGGATTTTGTCAGCCACGCAAATATCATAATTCTGCGAAAGCTCGACAAACTGTTGGTCCTAAATCTTCAAAGAGATCATTGAGTCTACTCGCAACGTGTCAAGTCACAACACCAGGTGTACGGAAGTATATCGATCTTCAGATAAATGGTCACGATACACGTCTGCAGTTGGATACTGCCTCTGACAGTACGATTATATCAGAGAAACTTTGGAATAATATTGGCAGACCACCAATCACAAATACTTCCCAGACTCTTGTCAGCGCCTGTGGTGGGTGGCTCAAACTAATTGGTGAACTCCAATGTTCTGTATCTTTCCGCAACATCAAATTCACAGGAATTTGTTACGTCACCAAGAGTGATTTAAATCTTTTGGGACTCGACTGGTTCGACCGTCTATATCTGGCTGATACCCCACTTAGTTTTGTGCAACTACCTACTACACTGTGTCCACCAGCAGACCATCCTTGGTCCGAAATTCATATTGATCTTGCTGGTCCTATAAATGGAGAATATTATCTGGTGTTGGTAGACGATTTTTCTAAGTGGCCAGAAGTTATACCAACGGTTTCGCCGACAACGTCCCAAACTCTCAAAGCTCTCACTGACATATTCTCCCATCATGGTCTCCCAGAAACCATAATTACAGACAATGGTTCGCAGTTTACCTCTTATCAGTTTCAGCAGTTCTGTCGTCGAAATGCTATCGAACATATGTTCACACTGCCGTATCATCCTCAATCCAACGGCCAAGCGGAACGTTTTGTCGACACTTTGAAGAGAGCTTTACTCAAAGCAGAGGGAGAGGGGACACCATTTGACATCATCCAAAAATTCTTGATGGTGTACCGTAGAACGGTGAATGAGTCAACACAGAACAAGAAATCGCCGGCAGAAATTTTTCACGGACGCAAACTTAGAACGATTCACAACTCAATGTTACCACCGGCACCCAAACGTGCCAACGCATCAATTCAGAATGGAAAAAAATTTGATGTTGGTGACGCTATCTATGTCCGCGACTATCGAGCAGGACATAAACCTTGGAATAAAGGTTCCATCGCAGCACGACGTGGTCGAGTTATGTACGACGTGAAAGTTGGTAATGATTTATGGACCCGTCACTACAATCAGTTGCGTCCAAGAAACTCAAATATCCCTACCAGTACACAGTCATCTCTACCTGTGGATATACTCTTAGGTACTTTTAACTTACCTACGACCGACAAGACAGAAAAGCAAAACTGCGCAGCTCAGACAAAGCAGAAACCGCGAACTCAACAAGCAGACGAAGCAACAGACGTCGACAACAAACTGAAGGGTTCCAGATAAACCCCAAGAAAGCACGCTGCTAATCATCAATCTTCTCAAAAGAGGAGGTGATATGTATTCACATGATGTCTGTTTTGGTTTTGACAGCCTGATATATTTTGCTATGTGTACATTGATCGATATTTCATTATAACGCACAATAATAATAACAATAACAGGAAATACTGATCAATATAGTGTATGCAGATGATATGTCTCCTTCTCGTAGCTTCTCATTCGAGTCCTGCTCGGGGGAATAGCAGGTGTAACATCAATTCAATGTATTCTATCAATCCATCTCCACTTTCTCTCTCTCTCTCTCTCTCTCTCTCTCTCTATATATATATATATATATATATATATATATATATATATATATATAAATTAAGTGCTATAGTAAGGTAAGCAATGTTTAACTCACCTTTCTGGACCATTGACCGATACACGGACCACATGCATTAGCTAATACTATCCCGCCAATAGATTGAAACACTTCAGTTATCCCATCACGTTCAATAGTTGCTCTAATTTGTTCACTACCAGGTGTTATATAGAATTGTGATTTCACTTTAACACCTTTGTCTAATGCTTGTTTAGCTAAACTAGCAGCACGTGACATATCTTCATATGAGGAGTTAGTACACGAACCGATTAAACCAGCGCTAATATGTTGTGGCCAACCTTCTTTAGCTGAACGACTAGACAACTAGTTTATTTTTCAGATAAACAAATAAATTCGGCATAAAATGTATAGGACAGAAAATTTATAGAAAAAATAGACACTGATGATCAAAAATGTGTATTTTTTTAAATATCAGGTCAACATAAAAAAGTGAGAAGCTCTATTGAATCACCTTTAAATAACGATAATAATAAAAGCCATTTTTCAAAAGGTATATGCATGTATATAGACATTTAAGGGCAACCCAATTAGACAAAATAATATAATTTACAAAATACCTTCCAGTGACTGTGAGTAAGGTCAACTACATAGGTCGAACTAGTAGGTCAGGGGTAGTCAGATTGTCAGAGCATAAGAATTTAGCTAAGGTAAGAATGGTTGACCCCGAGAAGATAAGTAATTTAGAAAAAAGCTCAGCAATTGCAATGCATGCATTAACACACAACCACACAATAGGTTGGGAGAGGGTTAAAATTCTAAAAAGTAATCTAGATAGGTGGAGAGAGAGGTTGATTACTGAATCCTTGTTCATCTAGTCTACACCAAACACATGCAATAGGAATGATTCATCACTCATACCTGAAATATGGAAAATACTACTACCAATCAAATCAAGTGAAAAATAATGGAACTATATAAATGAAATTAAGAAGTCGTGTGAGTACCTTGATATGATTATGAGTGGCAATAAATTGTGCTCGAAACGTCATCAGTAAACATTACTGTATAACGCTGTGAGACTTTATCGAAACAAAATTTACCCATAATGGAATTTAAGGGCAAAGTTAAACAACAAGAACCCCAACCCCACGAGCAAGCACCAATGATCTTGCCTCAACCAATCGCGTTAAAAAGACAAATTTGAGTGAGTCAAATTAATTTGATCTACTGATGTCATCTCAATGGGAACACCGTCAATCACTGTCTGTCTGTCTGGATTCAACATAGAACTTGGCACCGAAGTGCAGCAGTTCGAGTTGCCACGTTCCAAATAGCACACAAAAGTAGACAAGAAGATGAGTGAAGAGAATCAATACAGTCTGACAAGTATAAGAGTGAAACAGAATGGGTAATGCGTCTAAGTCCATAAGACTATTCCCTGGTAACAAGTCGATTCCTAAGTCGTCACGTTCAGTTAAGGATACTTCCATCAGCATATCTATGATGAAGTTAAACAGAAATGGGGAGAGTGGACATCCCTGTCGGACACCACTGGTTGTTACCAATTCAGATGACAATTCCCCATAAGTCCTTACACGGCTACATGAGTTTGAATAGTGCCTTGATTAGTGCAATGTACTTTCTTGGCACTCCCTTCACAGTCAGACATTGCCATAGTACCTTTCGATCCACGGAGTCGAAGGCCGCCTTCAAGTCAAGAAATATGACAATTGTTGGACGTCGAAAAGTGTGTCTATGTTCTAGAATCTGTCGAAGAGTAAAGATATGATCTATGCACCCTCTACCTGGTCTAAAGCCTGCTTGATTTTCCCTCATCTGTTCCTCCCGAGTTCTGCTTAGTCTGTATATGATTACTGAGCCTAGGATTTTAGAGACTATGTTCGTTAGGCTGATCCCCCTATGATTATTACAGGAGGACTTGTTTCCCTTCTTGAATATCGGTATAATAAGTGACTTACCCCAGTCTGATGGAACTGTCTCTGATTCCCAGACTTTGCCTAGTACCTCAGTTAATCTACAAACTAGTATGTCACCCCCATATTTAAACACCTCCGGAATAATTCCGTCGGGTCCTGCCGCTTTGCCTCGTTTCAAATTACTGATAGCTTTTGTGACTTCACTTACAGATGGCGGACCAGTGTCTATATCCCATTCGGGTGTGTGCTGGATGTTGGGGAGGTTCAGTGTGGCTTTAGGCAAGTTAAATTGTCCCTCAAAGTGTTCTTTCCAGCGTTCAAGGCGTCTATCCTGAGAGCTAATTAAGGAGCCATTTTTCTCAGAAATAGTCTCACTTATGATTTGCCTTCTCCCTCCCGTTTCCCTGATGAGTCTAAAGAGTTGCCTAATGTTCCCTAACGCCGATGCTTTTTCCATCTCTTTCGCCTTTGTCAGCCATCACTGTTCACGGTCCTTGCGGAGACTTTTCGTAAGTTTCCTATTGTGCAGCTTTCGCTCCTCATTGAATTCGGAGCTCGCCGGAATAAGTCTTCTAGCATCTATCAGTTTGGATGAGGCGGTAGAGATCCAATGGTTTTTACTCACCTTTGGATTTACCTTATTCACAGCTTTTACAGCTGTATCTATGGCTGACTGAATATTCTTCCAGTCTTCTTCAGGGTGAGCACAGCTGTCAATCACTGGTGGTGGTGGTGGGGGGATTTAGGTACATTCAGTTGACAAGTCACAAAGAGAATAAAACACAAGTGTCCTGGGATTCCACTGCTTGAGACCACTAATCAAATACAATGAGATTAAACACTTACAATGAGCTTCATTCAGAATTTAGGGAAAAGATATTTCCCGTAAAATGCTTCAAACTCTAACTCCTCACTCTGACCGATAGTAGTTATTTGAATAATTACCGACACTCTTAATAGAAAATGAGTTACTTATCAGTAACGTTATCTTAACTCCTTTTAACAGTGTTAAAATTACAATCAATAGTATGCAGTTTGCAATTCTTGATATTTTCAAGTTCTTTCTCTGAAAATTGTTTTTATTTAAGTGACGTAACTGAATTATAACTCATTTTCTTTATTTTAATCTCTCATACGAAAGTACATTCAGAAATAATATTAGTGTTATCAATAAAATACAATAGGGTGGGAAATAAGACGATTGTTGATAGTCAATAAAGTGGGAAGTAAGATGCTTTCACAACCTCGTCGATTGATTTCTCCACCAACTCACCTAGCACTCGACCGACACTAACCTCAATGTCGCTCACCTTATAATACCACGCGCCACCTAAAACGAGAGATAGAAGGCAGACAACTATGATCAAAGACCACTAGCTAGCCGGGCCTTTTCGTATCTTGCACTTTCAATGGTGGCCATGTCTTACAGCCATAAAGGAGGATAAAGAGACCGTTAGGTGATTCAGGTCAAAGTTTATAGCACTGACTGATGTATACGCAATGATCACTGAAAGATAAACTAGTGTAGTGTAGTTTATCTATTCTAAACTTGTACTAAACTTGGAAATATGACCTACATAAAACATATGTTCATGTATTTTGACTATTACTACTAGGTTAAATGAATATAAACAAGAATGTTAGAAACATGAGGATATACGCACACATACAAAAGTGAAATGAAAATACAAATAGTGATATATATATATATATATATTCTAGTAAGATAATAACTAGTGCAACAAATTATGACAGCATAAGGTCAGTCAGCTGGTCCAAAAGAATCAATATCAATGATTATAATAACAATCTATTTTACGAACTTAACTTTTTTGAAATACTAATAAATCATAAGCATATAAAATGTTTCTAAATATAGAAAATCAAACCACACATTTTAGAGATAAGCAGTGTGAGGTAAATTGATTAGTGCACTTTGTTTAAAGATATATAAATACACGTTTTAAGCTTTCAGTTACTTTCAGTTAGACACTAGTTAGTAACCAGTATAATGTATTCAGTCCGTTGTTTGGTGCAGACTGAATTCTATCAGTTAAGTTTGCAATGTGGCCACCATTCCAGATAGCTCACCATCACGGTGCATTTAAAATTTTTGATATTATATGGTTGGGGGCAATCATGAGCCCGAACAGCTCAGTGGTAACGTCTTTGAGTGCAGCACTGGGTGACGCGGGTCCGAATCGCAGAAGGGACATGAATTCCTTCAAGGTTGCAGATACGCCCTGCTAACTGATGAATGCAAACTAGCACGAAACTTAGGACCAAGGCTTCCTGCCAATTGCCCCCAACCATCTAATATCAAGCTTCCAGTTAGTCAACAGTGAAAAAGATGATGAAGTAATGGGCTGGAACAATTGAAAAATATGATAGTATGAGCTTTAATCAAGTCAGCTGACGAAACTATGGAACACTATTTTAACACTTGATCTGTGTGTTAACCAACCCCCATCCGCTCAATGTCACAAAATTTACACAATTACTAGATTATATTTACTTACAGTTTGAGATGACAACCATGCGACCGGTAGATGCGAGCAATACGGACTGAATACGCTAAGGAAAACTATTCTAATCACAATGTCAATTACTGCCACTACACAACAACAACAAAACAATAGTACCTACACGCAAAAACAATTTGAGAATATAGCACAACCACTAACCTGGTGCTATCAGTGCTCTACAAAATTGTGTGTATGCTTCACTCATCACAATTTCGCATTAAAATTTGGGTGAATCTACGTCTTGTGTGCTAGTTACCAGTGGTGTAAGTAGAACTATTCACCTTCACATTTATTAACGATGAATACGATACCATCTTGAGGATATATCATAGTGTACAATCATATATATACATATAGTACATTTTCAAAGCAATAGAAGGAATGTTTTCAAAGATGCGTCATTTAAATCGTAGGTCTTAGAGATAAAAATTACGTAATACAGAAAGCATTAATGAATATAAATACGTAAATTGAATGGAGTAGTAAAATAAATTACAGGACAGAGTGGAGCTCAACTAAAATTGATGAAGGTTCACGTTAAGATCAATGTCATTTTAAGAGTAGAAATGTAATAGTGGGGGGGGAGGGAAATCCATACAATTACCCTATCTAATGTTATCAGACAAACTGGGTTCAGTGACTGAACAAACTTTCACGTAGAACAATCTCAGTTATGAAGTCATCATATTTCGAAACAGAACACACAGAGAGTAAAAAAGAACAGACACAGAATGCTAACCAGTAATAAACAAATACAAATTTTACAAGGCAAATGAAAATTAAGAGAAATCTAGCATAAATATCCGGAAGTTCAATGTCATTGTGAATATTTTCCAGTTAACAATCACCATTGCCTGCCTGTTTTCGACATAGAACTTTGCACAAATGTGCGGAAGTTCAAGTCGCCACATTCCGTGTAGCACGCGAAGCAAGAGAAGAAAGTACAAGAAAAGCATAATAGAAACAGTGAGCAGAGGTGTGAGACAAAGGAGTAATAAAGAAATACAAAACAGTTTCATTGAAGATCATAAGTCACAGGGAGTGGATGCATCTGCGCCACTGAGAACGATTTTGAGCCATGTCACCAATTGTTTCCAACCATAGATTTTTACCGTCCCGAGGACCCCAGCCTGGAAGTCTACACCTTTCTACGTGGCTTAGACCAACTGTTGTGGATTTCATTGACTGATGCCAAGTTTTTGTTTGACCGCCGCTAGCTTTTTTCCAGCCTGACCCTATATCCGCTAACATTGCTCGTCGAGGGAGGCGATGGCTTGGCATACGTAACACATGTCCTAACCATCTCAGTCTTTGTAGCTTCACGACTTCGTCGATTGATTTCCCCTGTTTACCTAGAACTCTACGCCTAACCTCCATGTTGCTCACCTTATTATGCCACTTTACACGGGAAATAGAACGCAGGCACCTATGATCAAAGACAGCTAGTCTTTTCATGTCTTCCACTCTCAGTGGCCAGGTCTCACAACCATAAAGGAGGACGGAGCGGACTGATGAGCAGTACACCCGCCCTTTGGTCGATAGTCGAACATCTCGTCTACGCCAGAGTCGGCGTAAACTAACAAATGCGAAACGAGCCCCTTGTATTCGTGCTGAGATTTCGTCAGAGATCAGCCCGTTGGGGCTGATGGTACTTCCCAAATAAGTGAAGCGGTCAACGTGCTCTACCACTTCACTTCCTATTTTTAAACTAGGCGTCGATGTAGTCCAGTCCTGTAACATCATCTTGCATTTGGCGGGAGCGAATCGCATGCCAAACATTCGTAGATTGCGGCTCAAGGTGTTTAGAAGACTCTGCATTTCGTCAGCGTCTTCGCCTAGAAGGACTATATCGTCTGCATATTCCAAGTCAACGAGATTATTCCCCGGTAGCAAGTCAATCCCTGAGTCGCTGAAGTCACCTAGGGTTAAGTCCATTAACACATCTATGATGAAGTTGAATAGAAAAGGAGATAATGGGCATCCTTGACGGACACCACTGGTCGTCATCAGTTCAGATGACAGCTCGCCGTAAGCCCTCACCTGGCTGTATGAGTACGAGTAGAGTGCCTTAATCAGTGCAATATATTTTCTCGGAATTCCCTTTACAGCCAAGCATCTCCAGAGAACTTCCCGATCGACAGAGTCGAATGCTGCCTTTAGGTCAAGAAATATAATGACTGTTGGACGCCGGTAGGAATGCCTATGTTCTAGAATCTGTCGGAGGGTGAAGATATGATCAATACACCCTCTTCCTGGTCTAAAGCCTGCCTGGCTCTCTCGTGTTTGTGCTTCCCGAGCACCACTCAGTCTACGCATGATTATTGAGCCTAAGACTTTAGATACTATATTAGTCAAGCTAATCCCTCTGTGATTATCACAGGAAGACTTGTCTCCCTTCTTGTATATGGGGATAATCAGTGACTTACACCAACCCGATGGGACTTCTTCTGATTCCCAGACGCTGCCTAGTACCTCAGTTAATCCGGACAGTAAGCTGTCTCCACCGTACTTAAATACCTCTGGAGTCATTCCATCAGGTCCCGCTGCTTTGCCTAGTTTCAGATTGGTGACAGCTTTAGTAACCTCAGTTAGTGACGGAGGACCTGTGTCTATATCCCATTCAGGGAGGTGTTGGATGCTCGGAAGGTTGAGCGTGGCTGTGGGCAAATTAAACTGCTCCTCATAATGCTCTTTCCAACGATCCAGTCGTCTATCCTGGGAGCTAATTATAGTGCCATTTTTTTCCGAGATTGTCTCACTAATGATTTGTCTTCTCCCACCCGTTTCCCTGATGAGTCCAAAGAGTTGCCTGGTGTTGCCTATCCTCGAAGCTTTCTCCATCTCTTTGGCTTTTGTCGCCCACCACTGTTCACGGTCCTTGCGGAGACTTTTCGTAAGTTTCCTCTTGTGCAGCTTTCGCTCCTCATTGAATTCGGAGCTCGCCGGAATAAGTCTTCTAGCATCTATCAGTTCGGATGAGGCGGTGGAGATCCAGTGGTTTTTACTCACCTTTGGGTTTACCTTATTCACAGCTTTTACAGCTGTATCTATGGCTGCCTGGATATTTTTCCAAGCTTCTTCAGGGTGAGCACAGCTGTCGAACACAGATATGTGTTTAGCTAGTTCTTCCTGAAATACGGATTTAGTTTCCTGATCGAGCTGGGGACGTGATGGTTTTACCGCCAGCTGTTTCCTACGTCCGTTCAGTCGTAAGCACACCCGAGCGCGGACCAGTGCATGGTCGGTATCTACGCACGTGTTCCAGAAGGAGCGACAATCTCCTACCGACCCACGCCAACGATAGCTTATTGCTATGTGGTCTATTTGTGTCCAGCGTTGGTTTGATGAAGGGGGTCTCCAAGTCAAACAGTGTCTCTCCTTGTGTTTAAAGTTAGTGCTTACAAGAAACAAATGATTATCAGAGCAGAACTGTAGGAGACGGTCACCGTTGTCGGTTCGCTGGCACGGACTCCATAGGTGCCACCGACATCCTTCTCAGATTGACACAATTTCCCTACTTGAGCGTTAAAGTCACCAGCTAGAACGACTATGTCTGAGCGTTTAGCCTTTCTCACCAAACTAGACAGCTTTTGGTAGAACTCATCCTTCGTTTCATCTGAACTGCAGTCAGTGGGGGCGTAGGCGGAGATTACGAAAAGGCATCGGCGAGTAGTGCAGTCTTTTCTCCTTCTTACTGATCCGTTCAGACGGACAGCACAATCACCATTAGTATTTCCAAATCTCTAGTTCTTCATATCCAGTGAAATTTTGAATAACTGAAAGCAAAAGTTATAGACCTGTAAAATGAGTGCTATATATTTCAGTCTGATCACGCGCACATGATTTTATATGGCAACTTAATCCTATATCTCATCCAACACTGAGTGGTCTTTTCAAATGGCAGCAGTTGAGTATACACAATAGATATTCTTTCCATCAAGATGCACAAAAATCTATCGATCGATCTACTTTTCTTCACCTAACATTCTACATTTAATCCCAAAATTACTGATTAGGTAGTTTAATCTAACTAAAACAATGTCATGCTCAAAAAAATCTGTGATCTTTTCATACCGTCTACTTTCAGTGGTATGATGTCTGGTTGTACAAATAAATCTCAAGAGATGGGATAAGATCTAAATTTCTGGCTATTCGGTTGCTTAACTAATTACAGTCGCAACTTCACACCAAATTACACCACGAAAGACAGACAGAAGGATGTGCAAAACTTTGTGCAAAGGTGAACCTACTTTCAGGTCGTGACGCTCTCCTCAACAACACACAAACATGGGAACATCATCACTCACTGGGAAATGCAGGTAAATCCAGATGATGAGTTCCAAACAGGACGAAATGAGCATCCTAGATCTCACTGTCAGTCACCATCAACCGATTGACTTCAAATAAAATGACATGCAAAATAAACAAATAAGTGCAGAGAGAACTGACTAAATGAAATCGGTATCACACAGATGATGATGGTGGTTTGTGTGCATGACATTACAGTTATTCAACTTCTGAATGTTCAAATGATAAGGACATTAGTCAAGCGACCTACACGTCACCAAACCTAGGTGAGATCGATAATAGCTATTATAATAATCACAATAACTGCAATGATCAATATAAACCAAATACGAATGAATGGCTTACTTGTGAAATCGGGTGAGCCAGATCAGGAGTAAATGGACCATTGACATGTGGTTCCAAGGTATCTAAATTGATTTCAATTATTTTATCGTATTTGCAGTTTGCATCAGGTGTAAGCAAAGAACCCTAAGAAGAAACATAGAAAATAAACAACGATATGAGTATAAAAAATTATACGTATACACTGGTGATCGAAATGATTAGCCTCATTCCTGAACGGATGCAGCGATATGACCAGGGCTAATAACTCAATTTTTATTTAGTTGGTGGTGGCTAGAAGCATTGGGATCCAGAACGCGTACTTCATCCTATTTAGGACTCATCAGTTTGGGGAGAATGCACATCTAAACGACGATTACGAAATACAAGGAAACGAGAGTTGTGGATTACACTGATAGCTACCATCCATCACACCTCAGTGTGGATGATGTTATTGTTTTACATTGACAATAACAACTATCAACTATCTGTGTTAAATGAACTAATTAAGATAAGTGAGCAGTTGCTTATTGAAAATACAACTCTGGAGTTGTTACCAGTAAAGGATACAATATTTATTAGTATACATATTGTTTTTATAACAGCAACAGTACAAAAACGAGCTCTGTGTAGAGACATTATTCATAAGAGCCAAGACAAACTGTAGCACTCCTGTATCCTTAAGAGAACAGGAAAGACATTTCTTGACCATTGTTTCTCAGGTAAATGTACATATATCCATAGAATTTCATCAAAAGATATATACCCGCCAAATAAGAAAAGGAAACACAGACTAAATTACCTTCTGAAAATGTAATGAAAATCGTTTTGCCTTATTTATATAGCATTTTAAAGATCACTCAGCCGAAACATTGAAACCCTTTAGAATGAATATCCCCTACAAACAAACTTTGGACGCGCTTTTCGATTAGTAAGCTACGTTTGCCTAGTTACATAAAAATCTCATTTTTGCGGTGTTTCTGGCCAGGACGTTGTGGCATTTATTTTAATTATTTGACTTTCGAACACTGAATCTGCGAATATAATCTTGTTGACTGTTAATACCTATAACTAACTGTTTGGCACTTTGTGACTGTTTAACTCTAATATCTACAACATTACCTATTATTGGATTTACATGCAAAAGTTGACCCAAATCAGTGAGTCTATGGTTTTCGTATCATTTTGCTAACTGTATTTGACAGTGATATTATTGCTACAGTTCCTGTTCTTGTCGCTGCACTTCCTGTTGTGAATTTTTCCTTTTGCTGATGATGTTCCAAATGATTTATTCCTTGATTTCCTGATTTCGAGGGGGGCAACCCATCAAGTCGCTTTTCTCTAAAATATATATACATGTAACAACTCCCTTTCTCAGGCGTGAGGCTAGCAACCCCACCCTGTAAACAAAGTTGCTACAGAAACTTCAGTTCGATGAATCTCCTTGCGCCAAAATAAAATGTCTGTATGGGGAGATGGAACGTTCCCACTACGTACGAGGTTGGCAAAGCTGCCCAGATCGCAAACGAAATGAAAAGATACGGAATTCAAGTACTGGGAATATATGAGAGCATATGGAATGGGAGTGAACTCGCAAAATTGTCAACGGGAGAGTCAGTGATCTTCTTCGGTCACCCAGAAGACAACCACGAACACACCAAGGGTGTGACTATCATGATGTTACCAACGACAACGAAGGCCCAATACAATGGGAGGCGATCTCGCCCAAGATAATGACCGCCAGATTCAACTCAAAAGGAAGGAAAGTGACAGTTATACAATGCTATTTACCCAAAAACAACACAGACCTTGAAAAGAGAGAAGAGTTCTACAGACAACTACAGGCAACAATGGACAATACTCCAGTTGGTGACATTAAAATACTGATGGGAGACATGAACGCCAAACTAGGACTAGACAACACAGGAAGGGAACTCATCATGGGTAGAGAAGCCCTCGGAGAAATGAATGAAGATGGAGAACTCTTCGCCGACTTTTGCGCCTTCACTGATTTGGTGATTGGTGGCAGCGTCTACAAACACAAACATATTTACAAGGCTACATTGGTGTCACCAGATGGGTGAACTAAAAACCGAATTGACTTCTCAATCTCAATGGAGTGGAGGTGCAGCCTACTGGACACAAGGTCGAGGAGAGGAGCAGATGTAGGTTCAGACCACTATCGTGTACAAAAGACAATCCAAATCAAATTAAAGGTTTTCAGAGAATGAGGGGCTGCAGATAGACCACATGCCACGTTCAACACTCAAAAACTGAAGGACCAGGGTACAAAGGAGATCTTCTTTGCAAGCATAAAGGACAAAGCCGAGACACAAATCAACACTAGCGAAGATGTCGGCATCGAAAAGCACTGGGACAACTTGAAGACGGTGTGGAGTCAAACCTTCATGGAAGTTTTAGGCAGAAAGAAGAGACAGGACAAACAGTGGCTCACTACGGACACTTAGAAACTAACAGAAGAGAGAAGTGAAACAAAAGATTATCCAGTGCACCGACAAGCAACAAAAAAGGATTTGAATGCAAGTTACAATACACTGAACAAAAGGGTAAAGAAGATTGCCAGGGAAGACAAAAGAAAATATTGTGAAGCCTTGACAAGTGAAGCAGAACAAGCTGTAGTGCAGGCTAAGGAGACTTCGCCACACTCTACCAAACAACTAGGCACCTATCGGGCAAAAGTTCGACACAAATTAAGCCAGTAAAGGATGACAATGGAAAGTCAATCATCAAGGAAGTGGAACAAAGAAAACACTGGGCTGAACAATTCGAAAGACTTCTAAATTAACCGCCACCTACAACGCGCCCAATAATACGAACAACGGAAGCAGAGCTATCAGTGAACATCGACCCCCCGACGAAATCAGAAGTCCTGAATGCAATCAAGATGCTAAAAGCTGGAAAAGCAGCAGGACCCGATGGAATCCCAGCAGAAGCATTGAAAATGGACCCAGAGGCAACAGCGGACTTGATGAAACCACTACTGGAGAAGGTGTGGAAAGAGGTCAAAGTACCTGAGGATTGGAAGAAAGGATACTTATTCAAACTACTAAAGTAAGGAGACTTAAGTCAATGCAAATACTGGCGCGGAATTATGCTCCTGTTCATCCCAAGCAAAATACTAAGCCACATCATCCTGCAGAGAATCAAACAAGCCCTGGATGAAAAACTTCGACCAGAACAGGAGAAAGCAATTCATGTATTGGTCAAATCGCCATACTACGGATCATCATTGAACAAAGCTTGGAATAGCAGTCACCTCTCTATCTCAACTTCATCGACTTTGAAAAGGCTTTCAACAGCATCGATCGAGAGGTCATTTGGCAACTACTTCGCTACCACGGGGTGCCATCGAAAATTATACATCTCATCCGACAGTGGTACGACAATGCTACATGCCAAGTAATCCACAACAGGAAACTTACGGAATCCTTCGGAGTGAGGCAAGGCTGTCTACTATCGCCAATGATTTTCCTGATTGCAGTAGATTGGATAGTGCGACGGACAACAGACAATGAGGAAACAGGCACGAAATGGACTCACACAAAAAAACTTGGAGGATCTGGACTTCGCCGATGACATATGTTTGATTCCCCACAAACTGGAAGATATGCAAGTGAAAAGCAACAAGCCGGCAGAAGCGTCAAAGATAGGACCTCAGGTGAACATAGATAAAACAGAGGTGATGAAGATTCCTGACCAACAGCAACAACAATCAGCATAAGTGGGAGGAACCTGAAAGAAACAACCTCCTTTACCTACCTACCTACCTGGGAAGCATCGTTTCAACTACAGGCCAACGGAACTGACGAGGATATCAAAGCCAGAATCGGAAAAGCAAGGCAAGCTTTCATTGCTCGTAAGTCTGTGTGGAGGTCAACAGCACTCAGCATCAAAAATAAGATCCGGATTTTCAACTCCAATGTGAAGGCAGTGCTACTATACGAATCAGAGACTTGGCGCGTCATAAAGAGCATCTCAAACAAACTTCAAACCTTCATCAACACCTGTCTTTGCCAATACTCAAGAGCAGATCGTCAGCCAGAAAACATCAGCGATAGGGATCTCTGGGAGCGAACCAACCAGGGACCGATTGTGAAACAAATAAGCAGGAAGAAATGGAGGCGGATTGGAGGCCATACTCTGAGAAGACGAACCATCAAGTGACATCACTAGACTTGAGTGGAACCCGAAAGGGAAGCGGTGAGTTGGTCGTCAGTGCAAGGGTGACTTGGAGGAGGTCATGTGAAGATGAGCTGAAAGCATGTGGGCAGACCTGGAGCCAGGTGAAAACTTCAGCAGAGAACCGAACGCAATGGAGACGCGCGGCTGAAGCCCTATGTTCCTCTAGGAATTAAAGGAAATAATAATATTGGTAGATCTAGAGTGACGACCATTTTCTTTTGTACGCAGAGACCTAGTTTAAAAACTCAGATTGCACAGGCCTTTGCTTTTGCAATTGCAAGCATCTTTCTGTTCCTTTGTCTGCCGACAACAGTGAATGACTTGACACCGTCGATATCATGTCCATAGTCCACAAGATGTTTTGTTATTGAGGTTTTTGGCACTTTGCATTCAGCTTTTTTCAACCATTCTGGCAAATACTCCCATCACGCAAGTAGACAATCGCCTCTCTGTACGACTTATGTATTTGCTGCCACAAACACACTCAAATTGATGTACGCAGTTTGATATACATATATATTCTCAATAACCGCTTGTATTTCCATACGCTTGGCAAAAAACCACACACTTATTGTGTAATGGTTAACTGATACTACCTGGGTGGGTGGAATCAGGTTTGAACATCTGATCCACTAGGAAGAAAATGAGCATCCAGACTAATGAGACACACAGCTTCACATGTAGAAATATGTTCTTAATGAAAAAATAACGGTAGGGATTCTTAAGAAGTATTATTATCTGTATAAGTATACTCCAGTTTAAGGGAAAGTGGAACTCGAACGCAACACCCACTAAGTAAAATTCAAAGGTTTGAAACAGTAAGCCACACATCTACATAGTATGAAATATATGAGAATTGAACAGAAACAACCCAAAGAAGCACCGATTCCCTGTTTTATTAAAATATATAACCACTCCTAGGGACTGATCAAACAATTTCACAATAGCTTCAAGTATTGTTTATTTTAACTGGTTGGAGGGTGCATGACGATGAAGAGTCTCAAACTAAGACGAATTAGTTGTCCAGAACTCCCTGTTGGTTTTCCAATGGTTCTCTGACTGATGTCAGCTCATGATGGAATCCCCCAGCCAATTTCACAACAGTTTCAAGTGTTACTACCCTAAGCAGTTTAAGCACAAATCTCCCTAGACTCTTCTTTCAAAATATAAAGCCTGCCTAATACAAGAGGAAAGAAAAGTTTGAATACGCCACAAAAAAACTGTAGCAGCGTATCCTTAAAACAGTCTAACACAGCAAAAAGAAACAGAAGTTTTTATTTGGAAGAATTAGAATAGGAATTTCTAGGAGTTCGAAGTATTTACGTGACTAAAGGACAGCAATGATTTAACCGATGGTTTGAATACAAAGTGGTTCTCATATTTTGAAAGATACTATATGAACCAATGGTTAGTTTGATATTATTTGTTTGGTGATTTGTTTTATCAGTAAAATGCAGGAAGTGTCTTTTGCCCTATCCTATGGCACTTTAAATGTATAGACGTGATATATGTGTGCTATCATAGTAGTGAAATGTAGACATTCAGGAGGTTCGGCTTTGACTCTCGGCTGACGTACCCCTAAACCTCACCTAACCAGGAGTAGGTTCGGAAAAAAGAGAGGAGGTTGGGGAATGAGGCTAGCTACCTGACTCCTTAGACATTAGACCCGTGCGACTGAAAGTTCGAAGCTTGAAGCTCCACCTTCAACTCGGAACGCAAGGGGAATGAAAAAAGACAAACTTCGAATATACTTAACGCTGAAATGATTACCTTATGCTTTGATGCTATATCACCAATATCCGCTCTGTTAGTAGCACGTAAGTAGTCCAACATACGATCGTTAAAAGGGAAAATTGATGTTGTAGCACCAATTTCCGCGCCCATATTACAAATTGTAGCCATACCCGTACAGGAAATTGATTCAACACCAGGTCCATAATATTCTATAATAGCTCCAGTTCCACCTTTGACTGTAAGAATTTCAGCTACCTTTATAAACAAAAAGAATATTTTATCATATATAGGAATAACATAATAGAGGAAATATGCTATTCGTAACTAATCCATTATTGCAATAAACTCTAGTTGATTTATTTCATGTTCAACATTACGACATTATGTACCCCTACATACTAAAATCTGACTAGTCGTTGAACAGTGTATTTATCGGATTTTGAACAAAAAAATTCCGTTTGAGAGACAAACATACAAGATATGTATTCTACAGAATCCGATGCGGAGATCCGCAGCACTTAGCACAAGGAACAACATCCGAAATTTCAACACAAGGAACTCTGGAGGTGAACCAACCGGTAACCTATTACCCAGAAAATATGCAGAAGGAAATTATGGTTAAGACATACACACTAAGGAGACTATAGAGTGACATTACATTCCATTCCTTGAGTAGAACCCGAATAGGGAGCTAAAAGTTGAATGTACAAGGGTGACACAGAGATGATCGTGTGAGATGGAAGTGAAATCTTGCGGATGGTCGAGGAGCCAACTGAAAGTGATGGCAGAGAACTGACTCAAGTGGATATGGGCTGCTGGTGTCCTGTGTTCCACACGGTAAGAATAATAATAGTCATAAGGATATAATTCTACAGAATTAAATGTTACAATTGAAAAAATTATGCTCATACCTTCAGTATAATATCTTTTGCACTTGTCCAACCAGATAACTTTCCAATCAAATGAACACCAATTACCAGAGGTGCTTTTAATTCCCAGGGTAAGTTAGCCATTACGTCTACAGCATCTGCACCGCCTACTCCAATACACAGACCGCCAAGTCCACCGCCATTAGGCGTATGACTATCAGTTCCAATGATTAACGCTCCAGGAAAAGCATAGTTTTCTAATACAATCTATAAAAATAACAATATCAAAAAGAAAAATTTGAGTGAAGAATATTCTTTTTGATAATTTCCTTCCCTGACCCTACAATTGTATATATATATATATATATATATATATATATATATATAATTGTAGAGAGAGAGAGAATAGAGTAGTCGTTATTAACAATATTAGTGTTTTGTTTTAAATACTATCGATCTGTTAAGACCACAGTGGAATTATCACAGTTCAAGAAAGATGCTTAAGTTACAAGCATAACAATGTAATACTAAATAGAATATCAAATAAAATTATGGAAATCTCTACAGCAAATTAAGGATCATTCAAACCTTGATGGCTGAGGGGGTAGGGACAGTGTCTGAACCAACCAACTTCTTTTGGATACATAAGTTAGGTTCTTAATGTGGATACCGCCAACCTCAGCAATAAGTGATAGTCGAACTCTTGAGGTAAAATTAAGCTTATTCGGTATGTGGCAGATGACTTTGGAGGTCTTATTTACATTAATTTTGTGTTTTGTATCCACAAGATGAGACGGTATAGAACTATGAATGAACTTTTTTTGTCCTTTACTTAACCACCATGCAGGATGATTTTCGGAACTCCAACGATAAACACGCTTAATTTTACGGTCTATGTAACTGGCCCCACAGGCGCAGTTAAAGACCTTTTTCAGAACTGTTGGTACTTTGGCCTGCCTTGATTTTTGATTCATATTCGTATCGATGATTTTTTTCTGAATAATCGTTCTCACTCAGCAACTGTTTAATAACATTAAGCTTTTCATTAAGACATTCATCAGAGTAGATTGCTCTTAACCTGTGGACCAAGCAATTTATTAGATTGCGTTTGTATTTCCAAGGTACGAAGCTGAAGAAATGAGTATACTGAACAGTTGATGTAGGTCTCATATATTCACTTATTATTATTGTACCGTCCTCTTTCATAAGAACGTCTACGAATGAAATACTAGAGTCGCTTTCTTTCGCGATGGTAAATTCTATTGCAGGACAAACACCATCAGTTAATATAACTGTACAACACTGTGATTTATCAAAATAAAATCTTATCCATAATGGAGTTATACTCTGTCACAGTGCCCAAGTTCTATACTTATATCGCTAAATACAATGGCAGTATATCTTGAACATGAATATAACTTTTAGAAGGACAACGAGAACTAAACAGTTGATTCTCCATGAAATTCGCCTTTTGAGAAATGCATATTTTTAACTTCATAGCTGAATTACAATTTCAACCATTGACTTGCACAGAGTTTACTTTAAGAGTGAGAAGTTATGTCTAAACTAGTTTTCGTAATTCTCAACATTAGTTATTCTATACACAAAACCAAATAACAATGGTCGTACAACATTGGTAAAGAATTCATTGTGATATATGAAGGAGGATCGATGTGGTGGAAATGATTTCAGGCAAATCTTTATGAAGCTGAAGCTCTTGTCATCCATAAAGGGAAACCTGAACTCAGAAATGCCATACCAGCCTCTTTTAATACCGCTACTTTGGTCTTAATTTCCTTTTTTTGATTTGTTACTCAATAAATTTTGTTATATTTCTTTGCTTGTGACCAGCAGTCATTTCTTTTTACTCTCGTTTTCTATGAATTATTTCATCAGTTAGTCATACACTTTTCCGATTACGTGGGACTTTTCACTATTTCTCATGAACTTTGATTTCTCTGTTCTTACTAACTGATAATGACTTCTAACTCGTATTGGCAATTGACATTATACATATAGAACTTCTAAATAACTGCACAACCTCGCCAGATACTAGCTTGCTAGGATACTAGCTTACTAGTTTTCTAGCCGGTCCCAAGCCCGGGTAAAGAGGGAGGGTTGGGGCGTGGTGCTAGCAACTCCACCCCTGTAAAGCAACCAAATCGCTACAGAAACTTCAACGAATAAATATATTAAAAATTCTAAAAACATACGCAATAGCCTTACTTTTTGCTGTGATCGGGGAAGTGAAATGACGCAGGCTGGTAAAAGCTTTAGAGAAGCCAGTCAGCCGATGTACCTTCTTTCGATGAAAGCAAAAGTAAGGATGGGTACCTGCAATGTTCGTACAATGTACGAAACTGGAAAGACTGCCCAGATAGCCGCTGAAATGAGAAGGTACAGAATAGAAGTGTTGGGAATCTGCGAGAGCAGATGGAACGGAACTGGAAGGTGCCAACTACCAGCTGGAGAGATAGTAATCTTTCCTGGCCACCCAGAGGACAACCATGAGCACACCGAGGGAGTGGCCATCATGATGTCACCGACAGCAACAAAAGCTCTCATGCAGTGGGAACCAATCTCCTCCAGGATAATGACAGCCAGGTTCAACTCAAAAGGAAGGAAAGTTACAGTCATTCAATGCTATGCGCCTACAAACGTCTCAGAACAAGAGAAGAAGGAGGCGTTCTACAGACAACTACAAGCAATAATGGACAACATCCTAAATGGCGATATCAAGGAATGGCTCTCAACGGACACTTGGAAATTAATAGAAGAGAGGAGAATGGTGAAAGAGAAAATGATTCAATGCAAAGACGGAGAAGACAAGGAGACGCTGAGCTCAACTTACACAGCACTGGACAAAGAAGTGAAAAAGAGTGCTAGGAAGGACAAAAGACGATTTTACGACAACCTCGCCACTGAAGCTGAGAAGGCAGCAGGCAAAAGGGACCTGAGTACCCTATATCAGATAACCAAATCTCTATCAGAGAAGAGATCGACACAAGCGAAACCTATAAAAGACAGCCAAGGGAACCCAATTACCAAGGAAGAAAGACAGATTAAACAATGAGTGGACCACTTCAAAGGACTCTTGGGCCGACCACCACCTGCAACCTGTCCAGAAATACCAACAACAGTGCGCACACAACTGCAAGTTGACACCAATCCTCCAACGAGAGCTGAAGTCTTGAACGCAACCAAACTTCTGAAAGCTGTAAAAATAGCCGGACCAGATGGAATACCCCCTGAAGCACTGAAGGCAGACCCAGAGACGATAGCAGACATGCTGACTCCATTATTGCAAAAGGTCTGGAAGGAGGGAAAGGTGCCTACTGACTAGAGGAAAGGTTACCTCGTGAAACTACCACAGGGCGACTTAGGACTCTGTAAGAACTGGCGAGGAATCATGCTCCTATCGACGCCAAGTAAAATCCTGAGTCGCATCATCCTAGAGAGATTAAAGGACGCACTGGAGACAGAACTCCGACCAGAACAAGCTGGATTCAGGAAAGGGAAATCATGTACTGACCAAATTGCAACTCTACGCATCATCATCATAGAACAAAGCATGGAATGGCGATCAAACTCCTACCTCAACTTTATAGAATTTGAGAAGACCTTCGACAGAGTTGACCGTGAAGTAATTTGGAAATTACTCGAGTACTATGGCGTACCCCAAATATTCATCAACCTTATTCAACAGCTGTACGACAACGGCGGTACATGTCAAGTGATCCACAACGGAAAACTCAGCGAGGCGTTTGGAGTAAACACAGGAGTCAGACAAGGGTGCTTATTATCTATCACCAATGATATTCCTAATTGTGGTGGACTGGATTATGCGTCAGACAGTGAGTGCGAAACGAGAAGACAGGAATATCCTGGACCGACGCGAAGAACCTAGAAGACCTGGATTTCGTCCGTGGATGATTTATGTTTGATGTCACTGTCACAAAATCGAAGACTTACAAGCGAAAACCGACAAACTGGTCGAAGAAGCAGCCGGTGAAGACAGGACTCCCGGTGAGCATAGACAAGACGGAGGTTATGAAAATAACCAGTCAACAACAACAGCAACATCCAGCGCCAGTCACCATCAACGGGAGTGAGTTGAAAGAGGTCACTTCATTCACTCACTTATCTAGGGAGCATTGTCTCAACTACAGGAGGAGTGGACGAGGATGTCAAATCGAGAATCAGGAAGGCGAGAAACACATTCACTCATCAACCTGAAATCAATCTGGAAATATTCGTCACTCAGCCTGCATCAACAACAAAATTCGGATTTTCAATACAAACGTAAAGTCAGTTCTTCTATACGGATCAGAAACTTGGCGGGTCACAAAGAATATTTCCAAAAGGCTGCAGACCTTTATTAACAACTGTCTTCGCTCTATACTGAAGATCAGATGGCCGGAAAGAATCACCAACAAGGAATTATGGGAACAAACAAAGCAAGAACCAATCGCCCAAGAAATATGCAGGAGAAAGTGGAGATGGATCGCACACTCGCTGAGGAGACCACTGGGTGACATCGCGCGTCAAGCCCTCGAGTGGAACCCGAAAGGGAAGCGGCGTGTGGGACGTCAGTGCAAGGGTGACATGGAGGAGATCGTGTGAAGAGGAGTTGAAAGAAAATGGACTAACATGGATGCAGGCGAAAAGTACAGCAGAAGACAGAAGCAAATGGAGACGTGCAGTTGAAGCCCTATGTTCCACTAGGAACCCAAGAGAACAATAATTATAATAAAATAGCTGCACAGATTTGATAAGTTTTTGAAAGAGACCTATTCGTTGACGTAGGTGTTCATAAAAAACACAATGGCATGGAGACATCTCATACTTTATAGTTTTGTGCATAAAAGTAACATAAGACTGGAGGTATGTTGAAAGTTATTTAATTGAAAGACTATATAAGAAAACAAATCGCCCAAAGCTATTTTGTGTCAGTTTGTCTATTGGATATATCACATAGTGAAACAGTATTATTTACTAGATTTTGTGGACAATTTATTGCTCGTAATCATACCAATTGCAGTTAGTCAACTTCGAAACCTGATTTTTTTTTTAATTTTTGTCCTTCTTTCAAATTTGTCGTAAGGTTAGTGGGGACAGACTTAAAATTTAATGTAACAGGGTGGAGGGAGAAATTGATAACTGGAGCTTTATTTAATTTTCTTGATTACAGCTTGATTCCACACCGTACTTTTGGTACAAGTATGGAATTTTCAGCATGTGATATCGGTAGCCCAAATTTTGCAGGCCGACCATAAATACCAGGTGTGCGTCCACAGGGGATCGAACCTCGGACCATGTGCATGGTCATCGAGAGTCCTAACCACTGTGGCACCGACGCACTGAGAATACATTCAGTAAGAATAACTCAACACCTATCCCAAGACATTTGGAAAATTGCACTACCCTTAAAACAAGTATGAAAGACGGACAACTGTAAAAGCCAAGTTCTAATAATGTAATTGTGAACAATAAATGGTGTTCGAAACGTCATCGAGTAAATAAAAACCGCTTCACTGTGTGATATACCCGATAAACAGATTCATATAGCATTATATAATACTACAATACACAAGTTCAACACGTACATCGATATTACTTCACCTACAGTAATATTTTACACACCTTTGAAGTAAGCTTTAAACTGAAAACAAAGACCAAAATCTACCTAACTAGGGGTTTGTTCAAAAATTACAAGTATTTCACATGTGAGCATCCCGATTATGTAATTTTTGGCTAGTCGTGACGATATACTTAGTTGTCAGTTTTCTAAGCTTCACAACGACAAATTTCTTTAATCTAGGTTTGAAGTCAGTTAACTAAAACAGACCATATGTTACAAGCTTGTTCCCTGGTATTATAGGGTTAACAAAGTATCCAAAAAGTAATCAACAGTTTGACACATGTACAATACATGAGTTTTACGTCCAGGATGCCTACATGAAACTCCTGGTTGGTTAAATTAAGTAATTAAGTGCTATCACAATGATAACTTTTTGAAATAAGTATAATTACTTATTTAGTCTGCTCATGAACCTATAACAAACTGAAACAGTATTTAGAAATTTTGCACGAAACCATTCCCTACAAATATTTTCAAGATATCGTTATCCAACGCCCCACGCTAATTTTATTAACCATGAAGTTTGCACAAGTAGGTAACAAAGAAAAAAGAGCTAATGAATTAGTGTAATGCACACCTGATGTATAATTCCTGATCCCGGTTTCCAAAATCCAATTCCATATTTAGCTGATGCAGATGCAAGGAAATCATATACTTCTTTATTAGTGTCATTAGCTCGAATCAAATCTGCCCCAGCACCATCTTTAGCCTCAATAAGATGATCACAATGAACTGTTGAAGGCACAGCAACGCGTGGAAGACCGCTACTAATAAACTGCAACAATGCCATTTGAGCTGTAGCATCTTGCATTGCTACACGATCAGGTCGAAGCATGAGGTAACTATTACCCCTTTCAATAATCTAAAAATAAAAAGATCTTTGGAAGAAGTACAAATTACTGCATTTTTTGGATCATCAAGATGAGAATAAAGTACCTTTTCAGCTAAAGTTAGCGGACGTGCAAGTCTAGAATTGTCATGGACAGCTATACAAACACTTACCGTTTCTTTACTGTATTCAAAGTATGCTCTAATTTATGATAATCTAAAGTTTCGTTCTCAAATCTGCTAAGCGCTACCTTAATTAGAAAGAAACTAAGGATTAAGTAAGAAAATTACCGAACGGTTTATGGAGAAAAGCCGGAAAAATTGAGTTTTGTTTGGATTTCTCAATACAAGGTTGACGAAAGTCATGATAATGCAATATTTATTGTATAATAGTTGTAAAGTTCGAAATCTGAAATCAAAATACAAGTATTAGTAATAAATAAGCCCAAATGACAGATTTTCTTTCAAAATTTTTAAAATATACAGTAGTTGCAATCGGTATTTCTGAAATAATCCAAAAACAAACTCTTATTAAGAAGCACACCCATTAAATCAGCTGTTTCTAAGAGCCACTAACGGCTCCTTCGGTATACAATAATGGAACGCTGCCAAAGAATAAGTGAGTAACTTTCAGTCAGGTTTCCGAGTGATTTAACTGAGTTGAATACCAATGAAGAGTTCAGCTACACCTGGCAAGTCGAATGTGGGCGAGATCTTGGTACATACAAAAAAAGTATTCTCCTATTTCAAATCTGGGCTTCGTCAGTATACTTATATTTATACACTAATAGTATGAGCGATTAAGAACAGATATATACTGCTCAAGTAGCTGTGCTCTGCAATAAGAATTTAGGCAGTTTTGGTATTAAAAATGCTTGGATGAGTATTCCACTCACTTAAAAACTAATTTAAAGTTAACCGATGGGTACAACCAACAACAGATAGACTGTATGATCATGTTAGCGATCACGTTTGCCTCAGAGATTAGGTTATGAGGGTCTATGTACATGCCTTGAAACGGTGAAACCGTGAAGGGCTCATTAAATGACTGTGATTCCTTAAATTGGAAACGCTACACACACAACTGTAGAGTTAATACATGTAATTATGCCCTGGTCCATAATGAAACAGGTTCATTTATTAAAACAACTATTTTCTGAACTTCATTTAAAACACAAAACCTGGTAGATTATAAGCACTAAGAAGATGCGCAACAAAATAACATTAAAGCAATATATGAGAGGAAATACGTAGGCCTCCAAAGCCTCAGGATGGTCGGGGGTGAGTGCCTTGCGCTGCGGGTTGGCCACCCCTCCGTACACCTCTTGAAATGCTCCCATATGACCGGGCGTCTTACATAGCCTCTCCTGAGGAAGTCCTACTCACTGCCTTCACGTGGCAGAGGTGTTTTTCACCGAATTGAGAGGGCAAAAGCAGATGCCCGGCGCTCTTCACCAGGTTGACTGTCCATTGGATGACAGTCTAAGGGAGATGGCTAAACCCTGATTCCAAACCTCCAACGACTGGCGTATGAAGCTCACCGGTAGACGTATGGACAAAGGGCTTATTGGATGCCCTGGATGTCTGGCCCCATTCAAAAAGGCGTATGAACCGGACTCCGGCTGCCAATGGATAGTGGACTCCCTACTCCACTCCTACTGCCTTGTAGGTCACACTTGGTTGTGTAAAGGCTAGAGCTGCACTCTCAAACAAAAGGCCGAGCGATCCTGGGGACATCACTCGTACCTAATTCCCATGAAACTTCATGAACTCTCTACAACATCAACCAAATTGCAGTACTGGTCCAACAACGTCGCCTTCGGTGGTTTGGCCATGTTCTGCGCCGACCAGATGACGATCTGGTCAAATCAGTTCTAAATCCGTCGCCATTTCGATCTTGGCGATGTCGCAGGGGTGGACAGCCGAAACATGGCTTGGTACAGTCAAGGCTGATATGGAGTGACTGGGGCTACAAACCGTCTACGGACTCCGTCTGTGGAACAAGAATTGGATAACCCTGTCGCAAAACCTTGCATCAGATCGCCGCGCCTGGGCAGCGATGATTCGAGATGTTCATGAAGCCCGCTCATCCTCCCGTAGGAGATAGCCGAAGTAAAGTAAGTAAGTAAATAGGTAGAGAATGGATAAAGGACTTCACCTGGGAAGAAAGCAGCTGTATTTAACCAGGCTAAACAATAATCGTCGAGTCGTCAGAAAGAGAAGGGAATTACGGCACGTTCATCATTGAGGGCACACAGATATCCATCGAAATAAAGATTAGAAGTGGCAACAGTAAAGCATAGACAGCAACTTTAGACTACGAAACGGCTAATCAGATTACATTAAGTGAAAAGTGGTACCTAATTTTCAAAGTGTATCTATGACGTATATATAATAAAAACAAATGATATAGGGTGTATATCCCTAATATGCAGCAGAAACTGGTCCCAGATTCTCATGGAATTAATAGGAGAAGAACCAGATTGGAAAGAGCTGGAAGCGAAAAACTCCTACGATGGTAAACTTTTCGTCCACACAGATGAGAAATTGATAAGGTCAGAGACCGTGTAGACAATTCTTAGAGACCAATTCATGTCAAAGGACGTCACAAAATGCATAGATGTAACCAGACACCGGTAGGGGATAATGAAACGTGTAGTCACCTAGTCTAATATATCCAATAGTCAGTATAATGAAGTTTGCAGTTCTAAAAGTGCGTGTCACCCGTCACCAGACGGTTCAAACCTGTCCACTTGTAGTGCTTCAATGTAAAAACCAGTACTGTTGGAGTACCCAATGAAACACAAGGTTGTTACGAGGTAATTGTTAGATATTAGTCCTAGGCAGACGATCCTAAGGGATCAGTAGTAGTAACGGGGAAACCCGATCAGTAAGATATGTTTTTACAAATCTTATTACTGACAATCTCATATGTTGACCTTAAAATGTTATCGATTTGTATATTAAGTCAGGAATATACAAATTTTGAACCCAAGTTGACAATGGTGGGGCAAGATGAGAAAGAACTCAGCCTTCAACACGATACTAACTCTCTGAAAAACATTCAAAAAAGAGGTATCCGCATTAGCATAAGCTCTATAGTTGGCCATATGCTCATGAGAACCAGGTATTACTAAGAGGAATGAGTAGAACCAGCCAAAATACCGTTATTCTCGCTGAGACCGCAAACCGGTTTCCAAGGTCAAGCCGTAGCTGGTGAAAACAACTACTAGTTGTTCCAATATCCAATATCGATTTTACGAGCGAGTACAAACCAATTTGATTTCTTTGCGCTCACCTCTTGATTGTGAGGTATAGGTTCCTGATCTTCGGTAAACTTCTGCGTAGCTCATCCCGCCACTCGACTGTCGTAGCTTTGGTTGACTCCAAAAGGAGTAGTGCTGGGATTAATTATGTGTGGTCTGTAGTATGAGGTGTGTTAAGACTGTTACTACTGTGAATGAAGTTGACCCTTTCACTAGTTTGTCTTCCGGTATCGTCGTCAAAAGAAAAGAGATAATGATAGATGTAATTAGTGAAGTTTTCAGACTAACAGACAGAAAAAGAAATTAGAAAACGTAACAACGGTCAGCTGATTAAATTTGAAGAATAATATGAAGGATATATGTATATCGGTAATGATGGTGACAATAATAATGAGTGTAGTTAAAGTTGTCAGAAGAGTAAGTCGGGAGAGAATGTAACGAAGTGAAACGACAAGTTTAATTGTCTACCCCTGAATGGTGTATGTGATTTAAGGGGGATAGGCCATTTGGACGCAGTTCTTGTGTCTCTGCTTGGTTGTCCAGCCTTTCCTTAAAGGTATCCACAGACGGTTCCATAGCTACATCTGCCGGTAAGGAATTCCAGAGACGTCGAACCCGCAGTGAAAAGAAGTGGGAGCGCACCCAGGTCCTTGCCCTCTGGTGAGCTATCCTTCTGAGATTTCAGCAGGAAAGCCTGTACCTACTCAAGGGCAGAAAACCTTTGTTTGGGTGACTCTGGTCATTTGTTATTTTGTAGGCAGTAATTAAATCCCCCTAGGACGATGGTAGCTAAGTGCGAATAGACCTAACTTCTTCAGCCTTTCATACGATTTATTTTGGGACCAAACACTGCTTTTGTTGCCCGTCTTTGGACTATTTCCAAGAGGTTGACGTCTCTTCCAAGCAGTGGGGTTGCAATAATATTCTGCACCTCAAAATGTGGTCTGACGTACGTTTTGTACAACCTTAGAAAGAGCTCAGGAGTGAGTACACCTAACTGTCTATGCATCAAGTATATGACCACATATGCCCTCGCTACATCCCCCGTGTAATTTACGCTTGTGTCCATTTTTCTGTTAGAACTAGACCTAAGTCGCGTTTCGATGTTGTGCGGGACAAGCTTTCATTACACAGGGAGTAGCTTGCATTCTGCAGCCTACAGGTGCGCAACTTCACTACTTTGAACGTTTTTAGGTTGAAAGTCATGCCAGTGACCACCGTCCGGTCTTCCAGAAGGTTTAGATCTTCCTGTGGCCTATCTGAGTCCTCCGGACGCTTTGTCACCCTCCATATCTTTACGTCGTCAGCGTATAGAAGAGTCAGGCAGCTTAGACGGCATGGTAGATCATTGATAAAAATCGAAAACATCAGTTGGCATAGGATAGAACCCTGCGACACTCCTGATGACCAGCTGTACCGAGATGATCGGACTCAATTGACCTTAGTGCGAAATTGCCTTTCAGCTAGGTGGTCCTTCAACCATGACAGAAGTGGCTTACCTATACCTGTCTGGCTTATTTTGTGTGGCAGAAGGGCATGGTGAACGAAGTCAAATGCTTTCTCAAAGTCTAGGAAGATCACATGGACTGGAATATTCATATCCCAGGACAATAGCAGGTAAGTAACGCAAAATCTGCATATCCTGAAACGTGTTGGGCTTCACGGAGAATATTAGACCAAACAGGGTATTCCCTGATGTGATCGTGAATAATACTTTCCAGCACTTTTGATACCACTGAGAGTAGAGCTAATGGCTTATAACTAGTGGAATTTTGCCTATTCCTACCCTTGAAGACCGGAGAAAAGGTAGTTCTTTTCCACTCCCCTGGCAGTTTCCTCGAATTCATTGAGTGTTGGAACAAGTCGCTTAAGGGCCTACAGAGAGCTGTTTCAGAACAGATGGCCTGATGTCGTCACAATCTGGGGACTTCCCAGGTGTGAGTCGCTGTAGCTTCCTTAGCATTATTGTGGGGTTTATTTGGGGAGTACCCGATAGGTCTTCCTCCTGTGAAACAGTATCACCACCATTTCGGTCCGTAACGGTGACGCCCACATAGTTGTTTAGCTGTTTGGCGAAGACTAAACTGAGTGTTTCAGCCATCTCCAGACTAGTGAGATATTGACTGTTTTGGCCTACTAAGGCGCATGCCCCCTGGTTGGTTGGTTTTCTTTCTGACAAGAATCGGTACGGGGTTTTGGAAGGGCTAGCATGGCATGACCTCCTGCCACTCCTGAATCTCGCGGTGCACCGGTTCCTGATTTCCAGGTATGCGTCGTAGCTGGTCTAGATCTTGAATAAGCGCCACGTAAAGCCTTCCACTTTGCTCGGAGAATACGTTGCGTGCCTCTCCTCAGCCATGATGAGCCTCTTCTGGGCTGCGTTGTTACTAAAAGGACGGTGCCAGCCAAGTCTCGTAAACCATTAATGCCCAGCTCTTGCTGCACTCGGGCTCACGCTGTTCCTCGAAGCTTCTCAGAAACGCGTAGTACGAACGGACGCAAAAACCAAAACAACAATTGTTGACTCGAGGATTCTTTATTGTTACACCAACATATAAACAACGTTACAACTAAGGTCTGTGAACAAATATTACAATAATATATCACAATATTACTTCTGACGATATTTCACTCTTCTTTCTTAACAGCGACCGATGAGACGATGACTGTCGTACTGATGCCTCCGCGAAAATTGTGGAAGTTGATTTTGAGCAAACAACTATGAATTGATCGTTCAATCTTCAACTACATTGACACTCCCCGCCAAAATACCGATCCATCCCTTTTTTCCATCACAACCAATACACGTTGACTTGGATGCCATTGCGAGAACCTGGGTCACTCGGACAGAGCTGGAATGGAAAACAAACAGGAGAGCCAACACACCACAAGCATACTCACAGCACAATCTCACACAACAATGACGAACTGCGCCTCCAGATAGAGACGCCCTCTTGACAACTTGCAAAACAATCCCCACTTATTGAATGACTCTTGCAGAATGCAACGTGGCCATAGCAGCACCTCATGATACTCCACGCATATCGTCTTATCTACTCACTACCAATTACCACTGCGTCCGCTTGTCACACATTCTGCCTCAGTTCTAGTAGCGGTGGCGCATGCGAGCCTCAGTCGTCTACACTCTCGCTCCCCGGCGTGTGACACCACAGCTAACGATTACCTCCGTATGCATGTCATTCTCAGCAATAGCCTAGCCTCCCCGGCGTATACGACACATCTGCTGTCCTTAACATCAATCAATTCATTCACGGATGTAGAAGAGTGGACACACTTCAGAAGTAATCACGACGAAAATTTTAACAGAATTATGCAACAAAAACAAGGTACGAAAACAACGAGTAAACACAATGAATCCAAAAAAAATCAAATGATATGACACACCACACGTATATACAAACAGTACACACAAACTCGCGGATAATGTCTTGATGGAATTCCTTTGAAGAATCGAAGAACTCACAGCAGTACGCCTACAACCCTACTCAGGTTGACGCCCTAGGTTGGAAAATCGTCGGAGAGTTCATTTGCTGACTTCCCTCTACCAGCTATATCCTCAAATCTGAACGGTAACACGCTCATGTCATTGTATCGTAGAATATAGATGACGAACAAACACACGACGTATCTGATCAACCAAGCGTGGGCACCGTGTAATTTACACCAAAGATAATAGCATTCAAATAGTAACTTGAAACAAGAAATTCCTTTATTCATGCAAGTCAATTTAACAATTACTCTCTCGTTTACACTTGGCTTATCCTCTCTAAACTGAGCAATATCTTTCATCCTTTCAAATGCACCAATACTAGCATAGTCATTGCACAAGATACTTGAGTTGATGGGCGTCCTTCTCATTGTGGATGACAGCACCAACGACGAATGATTGATACCAGTTGATGAAGTTAGCGGTGGATCAGAAGCTGTTGTGGTTCGGATTTCGGATAGTTGTCTAACTGCAAGATTACCACCACTGCTGTCTTTCACTATCAGCTCAGGTTTAGCACTAGCATCTGACGATAGATGGGCTACACGCTGATCAATTACACTGACGGTCTCACAAGTATCCATATCTTCTGCAACTGCATCTGCATTCAATTCTACTTCACGTTGTAGTTGTACAGAAGCTTTATTCAACTTAGCAGTAGTAGGCATTCCCCTCATCTCATCATGAACAACCAAAGATAAATGTGAAGTATCATGATCATTATCACGAATATTCAATTTATCATCATCTATCTGGTCAACTTCATCAATTTCAAACTCTTTAATAACAGAAGTAGACAGTTTAGGTTCCTCCTCACAAATCGTTAAAGATTTCATATCTTCACTCTGACCCTTTATACTTCGTAAACCTTTGGAGTCAGAACTGCACTCTGAAGCAGTAACTCAATTCTGTGACCATCTATTCAACAATGGCTTACCAGTTGCAACTACAGACTTCTTCACAACACAGTTATCGTCACACAATTCGGAGTCAGGCCTTCATTTCACATTTAGCTTATCCCTGAACTTGCTCACTGATTCACAGTTCTCCTTTGTATGCACCTCTTGCATACGTGTAAAACACAACCGTGTTTGTCTTGCATCTTGTAACTTATTTGTTGAGGATGTACTACGAAACCTGTTGCACTCACTAGGTCTATATGCATTACTAGACACCATAGAGCCTTCTCGATATCCACCTCTCTGAGGCCTACTCGTCATCAATGATTGCGTTTTGCTCTCAGACTGCTCTATTCTAGGGGTGAGATGCAACATACTGGGAAACTTGCTCCTAGATAGACTGATGCTATCTCTTACTAGTCTCAGGATGTCATCAAACCTCGGCTCGATACCCTCATCCTCCATACGGGAGCTTATCTTCACCCACTTCCTTTGCAGTCGAGTAGGTAGGCGTCTTGCTATTAATTCTGGTATAAAACTCGAGTTGAGGTCACTCATGCAATTCATCGAAATCAATGCATTCTTGTAAGTCAAC